AGATGTTCATCCCAGAAATTTTGTTTACCTCACCTTTATTTTTAGACAGCATGGAGGTTTAAATATATGCGTCTATTTGTTAGCAAAGGCTGTAGGAAAGCATAGCTTGTCTTTATTTAGAAAATATGGATGTTGTGCTCGTTCCTGTTGGAAAAGTGTAGATTGACCCTGAGGTTCTGGCCTCTATCCGTTTTCGGCCACCCCTAATTGGTTATTGACTGGCCACCCCTATTAAAATGTTCTGGCTACGCCTCTGGTGTCCAGCAGCACGTCCAGTTCACACCATCCTTCATCCAATCATCCAGGACCTCTGCTGCTTCCTCTTTAGCTCTGAATGAGGCTGTAGTGGCAATTGTTTGTCAAACCAAACATCCAATAAAGTTCCAATAAGCCACTATAGGCACTGGGGTCATGTTTTCTTGACGCAGACAAAAGAAGTTGAAGTCCAAACTTGTAGATGTTCAGTTGATTTATTTGCTATATTTTTGCAACATTACAGAGTTCAAACATTCCCTCGCTCTGTCACCTCTCTTTGCACTGGTAAAAACCCATAGGCCCCTAACCCAAACGCCTGCTGGTCCTTACCAGGCTCCTACATTTATAGAAAGTGGACCACCCACATTTCTTCCTGTTTTACATAATAAAGAAAGAAAAAAATGATAAAAAATAATTAAATACACAAAATTTGACAATTAACCTATAAATAAAGTCTGTAAATAATAAAAAAAAATATCTAAGTTTAGGAATTAACACAATTCAAATGGATAAAGAATAAAGAGCTCCACAGAGGCTAAAGTTCTCCATCTGGTTTTGGGCTTTTATTGTTTTCTAAACTTTATTTGTTGTTTTTAAAAGAAATGCAGCAGATGCCGAGAGTTGGAGCCGTTCTTGATGATGCTTCTAGAATCACAGCTTAGTGGATCTCCTGGAGCTGAATAATTAAAATTTATTTAATTTGTGTTTGTGGATCTGAGCTCCAGGTTTAGGCTAACGGTGCGTCTGCCAGCTGCCTCCTCAGAGGTCATCCTGCAGGGTTCAGAGCCTCTTAGCAAGGCACCAGGACGCCCAGGAAGACTGTTAGAACATTGCAAATCATTATCAAGGTCTTCTGAACCCATAAGATGCCCATCATGTTACATCTGTTACATCTGGTTTGTTTTTGGTTTTCTCTCTTCCTGTAGAATCACAGTCTTGCTTTTTGTGAACTTTGTAGATGATTATTTCTGACTTGAATTTAATGGTAAAGAAAAAATATGAAAAGGACCAGCGAAAGGTTCAATGATGATAAACTGATTTACGATATGATGAAAAATGATGTTTTATCTGTTTGAATATAGATTCTATTGAGCAATTTAAACATCCATTATTCTTGTTTAAAATGAACAAACAAACAAAACAAATCCTCTGTCCTCACCAGGTTTTACTATAAACTACAACAAACAAATAACGGGGCCTAATTAGTGATCTTATTCATTGATCCAACCATGTTGGACTCAGCTCCGCAATGAGATGGTGCTACTCAGACTCGTCTATCTGCAAGCCAAAAAAGTGGAAGAGGAATATGAAGCAATTTTGTGCGACGATGTATTTGGACAAAGACATGGCTGAACAAAAGTGGCTACTATAGTCTGTCAATTCTACAGAAAGAACTCCATTTCACTCATTGCATTTTGGGTTTTCATCTGAGAGGAAGAAGAAGAAGAAGAGTCCTTGTTTGCGCACTGAGCGATTTGCCCATGACGGTCAACTAAAAATAAAACATGTTTGATTTTCTCCCGACCCTACAATTCCTGATGGGGAGGTGGTCGTGAGAGGCTGATCGCCCCTCGTTACCCCCGTACACTACACCACGCACGATCAGCCTGAAAGTCGGAACGATCGAAAAATTCTCACACGACTGGAAAGTCGCCCCGAAAAGGCCAAAAAATCGCACAGTGTAAGCCCGGCTTTAGCTGCTGAGTTTGAATTCAGCGGTTGCAACCTTTGAAGGCCAGAATCGTAGGCTGATTACGTCGTAGCACAGCGCCGTGGCCTGTTGGGATCGGAAGACTACTCGTAATGCGGTAGACAAATGCAGCCTTCTTTTTGCCTACGGTGTATCCTCAGTAGCCTTGGGTATCCCATGATTCATTGCGAGTCCAAGCAAGCCAGCTGCTCCATGCTCAGAGGAAAAAGGGAAATGTTTGAAGTGCAGTTATATTTATTACAAGTATGTGAATAGTTCCGTGTGAAATGAATGTTTCTGTGTAAATGGGTTTGGCTCAGATTCCAATATCTCTGCAGTTTGAGGATTATAAATCTGATATTCGTGACAACAGTACTGCTGCTGAAGCTCCTTGACAATGTAATTAGCATATAGAACAATATCCATTCTTTATCCATACTTTGTCTGCTTTGTGTGTCAACTGTCATGGCGATGGTGTACAGCGTAAAAAGCTGAACCTGTTTGAATCGATCGCCAAAACTCTTCCGTCCTCCTTATTTTCACAGACCTCAAAGGACCCAGTCCAGGTAGACCGGGTCCTTGGAGGACGCAGCCGCTGAAATCGAGCAAACACAGGAGGTCATTGGAGCAGGGGGCGGGTCGTGAAGCTGGCTGCTCGATGCTGATTGGCCAACATACTGAAAGATTCTTGACTGACAGCGATTTCTTCATGAGTCCAGAGGGAAAAGTGATCCTTCAATTTCAGAGCGCTTCACAGAAGCTATTTTCACCTGTTGTAGTGATGTGTTTTATGCGTTTCAATATTTATTCATGTGATAAGTGACGTTTGGATGTAATTAATACCACTGACGCACCCTTTCTGATGATGTCCAGGGCAAGTGCCCATATCCCCAGTGCAGAGAAATATTAAAATGTCCCTGCTGCTGGAAACCTCTAGGTGTTTAAAGATAACGGCATAAAGGATGATCCACTCGTGTTCAGGTAATTACTCTTCTGTAAGAACCTCTTACAGGATGTAAACAGCTAAAAGACGGAGCCACCAAGTCCCTCCTGGGTGTTGGTCACTAGAATCCACAAGCAGACTCTCGTCTCTATGTGATGAGCAGCTTAACTGCAATCATCCATGTGCTGCATCCATCCTCTGCAGGGGATCAATAGCATCCAGCGCTCTGATCCTCAGGCAGCTCAGGATTGCAGGTTGCCAAACAAGCACCAGTCCGATTGGATTCAGCCGCCGGGAGAGAAATGGGAGTGAGTTGCCATAGCAACGTAGTGGAGCCCATCTCAGGGATTCACACTGTGCAGAGAGAGGAAGGATGGAGACCGGTATCCGGTTAGTGTGCCAGGTTAGCAGTGGAGCTGAAGGTGACACTGAGACGGAGATCTGATAACTGTTTGGTTAGTGAGGTTCAGACCAACAATCTCCTTCAAACTGTAGATGTAGAAAAATCCCAGAGGTTGAAGACATAATTAAGTGGGTTTTATATTATAAACATTGACTATGGAAAGATGCAGATTGAGACGTTCTGATTTATGCAGGTAACGAGTTTTCTTCATCAACCCAACAGCAGTGAGCAGTTAATCAGAAAACTGACCTCTGAAGCATGTTTAACGTCTCTGAATGGTTCCTGAATGCACATACTGTATATGATTGTTCTATTGGAAAAATGTCACCTACTTTTGATGGCACCAATTTGTTTTGTTCATTTAAAATATATGAATTATTTTCTCCAAAACCTCCAAATAGTTTATTTTTCCTGGTTTCCTCGTGTAGTTTCTAAATAAATGTGTGAGCTTTATGTGTGTCGACTTGCCTCAAATTAACTTAGAAAACACAAGTTTTACATAAGAATCTGAGTTTTTTTTTTTACTTGGAGTCCATCAAACTTTGGTATTATATTGTCATGACAGATTATCTAATTAATTAATTAACTGCAGCAATAAAAATATTATACTTTTTAAAATTGTCCAACATGACCCTTTATGTCCAGTTCTATCCTGATCTGAACCAAACAGCTTCAGGCTGCCATCCTCTCTCCAATAAATGCTGCAGCAGGTTATCTGCAAAATGTTTCCAGTTACTTCACTGCTTAGGGGGAAAATGTGAACCTCTCATTAGGACTCTTGCCTGCCACCTTGTGTCATATTTCAGACATTGCAGACAGTCGCTAATATAATGAAATCTAAAAGGCTCCACCTGCTGCCTTCAGATGCTCCAGATGTTTTATTTTAACATATAATAAAATAGTAAAACAGTAAAATAAGGTGAGTAATTTGAGTCATTTCCTGTCATTATCAACAGTAATTTGACTGAACTAGACTAGTCCTTCAACTTGAATGTTTTTCTTCAGATATTTGCTGCTTTTGTGCCTGTTTAAAAAAAAAAAAAGAAAGATCTTAAATTGTGTTTATCTCTGTTTAACCATTAACTACTGGAAGAAGAATCGCTTCAGCATTAGAAACATCTGAAACCAATTATCCTTTAAATCCTGAGCAGAATATAAAAATACTGAAGAACCAACTCCTTGTGCAGGTGAAGATTCTCAGTTATGCAGATTATAGTCATTCCAAAAAAGGTTAAAAACAATCCACTGGACATTGTTTCCAAGTTTGAAGATGTTTCGCTTCTCATCCTGGAAGCTTTTTCAATTCAAAATACTTCAAAAATATTCAAAAAATCTATTTTAAATTGAAAAAGCTTCCTAGATGAGAAGTGAAAAGTCTTCAAACTTAGAAAAAAGGTCCAGTGGATTGTTTTTTAACTTTTTTTGCAAACAACTCTTTGTCATCAGCTGCATCTTAGTGAACAATGAATCTGGTCCAAAGGGAAAATAAACATAAGACACAAAACATTTCATATTTTAAGCATAAAACTCAACAAAAGACCCGAGACATCAGGGATGCATCAGAGGTCCATCACAACAGTTCCAGAGTAGTTTGGTTCTTCAGGAGCAGAAACAGCCGCGGTGTTTGTGGACGCGTCACCTTTCCATCACATGACCAACAGGAGGACCAGGTCATCACACAGCTTCACCGAAGATCAAAGCAAACTTGGAAATCAGATATTTATTGAAAATTCGCTGACAGGTTTGGAAACGCTACACAAAGTACGCTGCCAGGGCTGCCATTTTATCTTTGGGTTTCTTAGGGTTGCCACGACGTCCCCTTCCTCTTCCCCGGCCTCCGCGTCTGGATCCCCCGCCTCGATACATGGAGTGCCTCATGGTGGCGTGTTTGAGCTCCACCAAGTCCTGGAAGACGGAGTCACAGAAAACGCAGCCGGTGTGTTGAGTCTCGCCGTCAGGAAGTGGGGTGCGGGTCTTGTTGAAGTCCACAGCGACGAGGGAGGCATCGCAAGCGTCGCAGCTCTCCTGAGCGACCTAACGGGAGGGAGAGAGGAGCTTCAGAACCGAGCCGTATGAACACGACCAGAACCAGTTTGCTGTGAACCGTGACCAAACAAACTGGTCTCATCCACTATCAGTGCAGGAGTCTTCAGGTCTATTTAACTCTGGCATGAAGGCTGTTGAGGCGTGGAGACTCCGGTATGATGACACAGGCTGCAGGAGGCAAAGCTAATGACCAAATCTGGATGATTATATACAATCTAAAGGAGATGATGTTTGGAAGAAAAACGCTAAAAACAACCCTTCTCCATCCTAACCAGATGGATTTGCTCCGCATATCCATCTGGAAACCTTCCGTAGAAGTAATTTTGGGAAGGGGTGAAATACTGGTTAGCTGATTGGCCTATGTTGGCGATAGACGGGCCAAATAAACCAATCGGATCAACAAAGCATATGGCGTACTAACAGAATGACGACGAAGAGGAGCCAATTGATAGATCAAACTCTTGCCGAAACCAGTCGGGAGAAGAGCAAAAACATCTTTTCCTCTGAGAAAAGCCTCCAGAGCAGTGTTTTGCTCTTCTTTCAGTGAAGAAATACTCTGTAATTCCGATAAAACTTGCTCGATAGCCACGCTAACGCTAGTTTCATCGGCTGAAGCCGCCATGTTCTTTAGACTGAACTGTCGCGCTTCTCGTTGCGTCACACCTCAACCCGCCTCAAAGCCAACGCTGATTGGACGTTCGTTTGGTGAACGGCTCCAAATTTTCTTCAACGGAGAGTCTCCGGACTGATAAGCGAGTGAAACCTTGAAAACTCGTGAGATCAGGATGGTCTCACGAGGCTATCTCCATCCAGCATGAGGAAAGAGTCTCAGTCCAAGTCTGGATTCGTCCGATTTAAACCCGTTTGTGGTGAATATGCTGGAGTTGGAACCCTGTGCTTTGGGCAGACGACGCGTGGTCAATCTAATCTCGTATCAGTTTCTGAAACTCACGGATCAAACATGTCTGCTGAAATGACTCCACTATTGGAACAGATCTGAACTAAGGGGAGAGTAGCCTAGTAGTTCTGGCATTATGCTTGAAATCCAGATGTTCTGAGTTCAAGCCCAGCTCCCACGCACTCACACTCTGGCTCCCTGAGCCAGACATTTAAAGGGGAACACCGTTTTTTTTACATTGGTCCCTTGATTTTATGTAATTACATCATGTTCTACTCACCCATATGAGTTTTGTGTCATTTGGAGCCGTTCTGAAGATATTCCGTTAGGTTATATCCAAGTAACGTCTTCCTATGGGTAACGACTTGAAGGCACAAACTAAACTGTTCATCATTTATTCTTTATGGTATGCCAGGATTCAGAACACGTAGGCCAATCACTGTCCCCCAGACATCCGCGGTTATATTTTTTATATTTCTATTTTCTTAAAACAAAGCGGAGTGTGTATGGAGGAGCGATCATAGCAAAAATGAGAAATATCCTGTCCAGGGGTGATGCTGAAAAACTAGTCCATGCATTTGTTACTTCAAGGCTGGACTATTGTAATTCTTTACTATCAGGAAGTCCACAAACTGTAGTTAAAAGCCTTCAGCTGATCCAAAATGCTGCAGCCAGAGTTCTGATGAAAATGAAAAAGAGAGATCATATCTCTCCTATCCTGGCTTCTCTTCATTGGCTTCCTGTTAAATCCAGAATAGAATTTAAAATCCTCCTTCTCACATATAAAGCCTTTAAATGGCCAAGCTCCATCTGATATCAGAGATCTGATTGTTCCTTATGTTCCTAACAGAGCACTTCGCTCTCAATCTGCAGGTTTACTAGTGGTTCCTAGAATTTCTAAAACTAGAATGGGAGGCAGATCTTTTAGTTATCAGGCTCCTCTCCTGTGGAACCAACTACCAGTTTTAGTCCGTGAGGCAGACACCCTGTCTACTTTTAAGGCTAGGCTTAAAACTTTCCTTTTTGATAAAGCTTATAGTTAGAGTGGCTCAGGTTATCCGGAGCTATCTCTATAGTTATGCTGCTATAGGCTTAGACTGCTGGAGGACATAGGGACCCCTTTTTCATCATTCTGCTTCATTCTATCTCTATTTTCCCACTCTGCAGAATCTGTTAGTTCAATCTCTAACGTTCTGCTCTCTGCTTTTTCTCATAGTAGCTTTGCCTCGTCTGTTTCCTTTTGGCTGTGACTCCATCCTGGAAAGAAATATCAGCTGTGCTGCTCCCATCAACCCATTTGTTTCTAGATGTTGGAGCTTGGCCTGTGTTTCAGTGTGGTCCTGTTTCTCTGACTGTGACTGGCTGGATGTGCTCTCTTCATCCTCTGACATGGGAGCTGGCTCGGAGCTCGTCTGCCTGGCTGTGTGTTTCCTGGACCAGGCGCCTTTTACAGCTGCTTTTTGTATCTCTGCTTCTGTCTCCTTGAACCCCAGTCGGCCTCAGCAGATGGCCGCTCACACTGAGCCTGGTTCTGGTTTTTCCTCTCCACTGTCGCTACAAGCATGCTTAGTGTGAGGGATTGCCATAGAGTCAATGAGTCGATGCAATCAGCTGGTTTACTTAGACAGAAAACTTTGAATCAATTTGATTTAATGATCTGGTGAACTGTAAAGTTCCTTTGAGATGACGTGTTGTGAATTGGCGCTATAGAAATAAACTGAATTGAAATTGATTTTATATTTGCAGCTAGTCCCATCACTCAGTGAGTCGGTGTATCAGTGTTGTAAGCATCGATAAATCCTCCCACCTGTACTTTGTGTGCGTGTTCAAAGAAGTGCACCACCACGTTGCACTTGTTGCAGGCCATTCTCCATTTGGGCCCAGAGGTGGGATCCAGCACCAGAACCCCGCTGTCGCACTCCACACACTGGCCGATGCCCAGAGAGTTGAGGGAATGCTGGCAGGAGGGATGGGTGCATTCATTGCATCCCATACCTGTAGGAACAGAAGAGAAGGTGCAATCAGCTCGCAGCAGAGCTTTTACAGCCACAACGGTCCTCGCATCGGACCGCTGCACTGAGCCTACGGAGGAAAACTTTCAGAAGATGTTCTGGTCACTCAAAGCTAACTCTAACCTACAGGTACACACACAGGGAGAGGTGCTTTGCTCAGAGGCACGCTGACGTTCCACAGGGTTAGCTGGAATCAAACCCATCAGGCTGGGATTTTTCACTTTCGGGTCAACAGCTCCTCTGAGTGGAGACTGGATGGGTGGGATTAAAACCAGAGGTTCTTCAGATTATGAAGAAGATGGTTCTGTTAGCAGTTTATCTTTTAATCGCTGTCTTTTTATTGAATTTTCTTTTCTTTTTGTACATACAGTTTGTAAATACAAAGAAGTATTTGTCCAACACAGACATATTGGTAAAAACCCAGGTCACTACCCAGTAGGTCCACACTCTACATTCCCTGACAGAAATGGAAAACATTTAAAGAAAATTAATTAACTTAAACTGAAGCATTATTGTAAGTTTTGAAATTAGTCAAGAAATGGGCCCCATGTTTCTTCAAATTTACCAGTTGAGTGTTGAAGAGAAAATCTAATTCTTTCCAGTTTCAAACACGGCATGATGTCATATAACCACTGCTTGGTTCTGCCTTTATTCTAAGGTCATGTTCTGGGGTCAACATGCTGGGAATGGGAACCAGTAGGAGTACCTTTCTTCATGTCCCTGAAGGGGGGGTGGCTGAAGCAGTAGGGACACAGCGGGTAGCTCTTCCCTCGGGCGCCAGACGTCCACAGCACCAGCTCAAAGTCGTCCAGCGGACAGCGGAGCTCCTTGTACAGCTTGATGGCTCCGTTCTGGGGCAGGCTGTAGGTCTCATCGCAGTGGGAGCAGTGGAGTCGGCTCGGCTTGGCCTGCAGACAGAGGAACTCGCTTCGTTTAATAGCTCCAGCTGGGACACAATGACCCACAGAACAACCTGCGGGTTTTCAGTCAGGTTAGCAGAACTTTCTGACCTTATATGGAGGTCAGACCTGCAGCTTGGTATTACCTGAATATATTCAATCAGGATGACATGCTCTTTGTGAGCTTAATGAAAAGATCAGAAGTAATAAAACCGTATTTTTCTCTGAACAATGTTTCCAAAGCTCACTGGGAGCGTTAGATGTTGCAGAACCATTGCATAGTCAGTATGCATGTGCAAGATGTCAGATTTGAGTTTATCCCTTTTAGTTTTGTAAAAAAAATAGACTTTTAACTACCTCTACGGGCGTATATCCCTTTAGTCACGTTAAAAAATATATATAATTAAGGAGAGATTGCCATACGCTTCAAAAAACTTAAAAAAGTAAGTAATTCATTTTGTTTTTTTTCTGCCAATAAATGAGACCATCTGGCCAAAAATCCTCAGAAAACCAATCCACCGTCTCATTTGGAGACAATACCAGTTCAAATATTTTTTTCGTTATTAGAAAAAAACATTCTTTCAATCAGAATAAGCTTCATGGTCACTTTATACCAGTTTATCTCTCTGCTCGCCCAACAAGTCAAAGCATCAAATAAATAAAATAATACAAACAAAAAGTGTTGATCACTTTGGCACAGTGGCCTGAAGGGGGCGCCACAGGCTCAAAGTAGCGCTCGGCAGGATACTTCCTGAAATAAATCCTACATGTTTGGAGATACAAATACCAAACTCTTCATGCTGACGTCTGACAGTATGGAGGATAAAAAGTGCCAAAATTAAATAAATAAATACAGCGATAAACAATTAATTAAATGTGTAATTCATTAAATAAATAAGGAATTAAATATATAAATCTGTCATTAATTTAATAAAATGCATCTTCATTTTATTAACAAAATATATATAATTATTTCAGTGTGCATTTAATTATTTCATGGTCCTGTGTCGCAGTGCATCGAAACAATTAAAAGAATCTGTCAAACTCACCCATCAAAGTTAGGGGGCGGGGTTAACGCGAATCGAGTCGCCACCTACTGTATCAGAGTATGTTCACAACCTGTGGATCACAGTCTCTGTAATCGATTTGCTTCGCCTTAATGTGCAGGCGACCAATCAGGTGTTAGATAACCGCCCCCTAACTTTGATGGGTGAGTTTGACAGATTCTTTTAATGGTTTCGATGCACTGCGACACAGGACCATGAAATAATTAAATGCACACTGAAATAATTATATATATTTTGTTAATAAAATGAAGATGCATTTTATTAAATTAATGACAGATTTATATATTTAATTCCTTATTTATTTAATGAATTACACATTTAATTAATTGTTTATCGCTGTATTTATTTATTTAATTGTGGCACTTTATATTAGTGACATGGTTTTAATTAATGATTGACACATTTAATTATTTATTTAATGCTGTATTTATTTATTTAATTTTGGCACTTTTTATCCTCCATATAACAGACACTGAATCTGTCAAAAGGTTCCCAACATGGATGAACTTAACCAGAGAACAGGAGGTGACCAGAAGGGGGCGCTCAAACCCAAAGACTGTGGCTCCCATTCATCAACAGCAGCAGAACCGCTCACCTGGATGTACTTCATGAAGCGGTGGCATTTCCCACAGCGGGAGAGGGGCTTTCCAGTGGCGGCGATGGGGGAGAAGGAGACCTCCATCAGTTCATCCATACCTGCGGCACACAGCACGCAGATGAGCCGCGTCCAGGTGGACGTTTACGGCTGGATGCGGTCAGAGCTGCAGGAACTTACTGGTGATGGAGTCCACAAAGTAGTGGAACTTCCTCTTGAAGATGTCCAGCGTGTGCTGCAGCACCTGCTGGTAGTTGGCCTTTCCCTGAGCAATGAGGTTCAGCTGCTTCTCCACGGCGCTCCGGATGGTCGGCAGCACCAGCTCAGCATCTGACAGCACAAACAGACGGGAGTGTTCAAGGTCCAGCCTGGGGGCCAATAATCAATATGGCCCCCCATTTAATAGTCGGAGAGACTCTGATCAATCAATGTATTTAACTGAAGAGTTTTAATAGAAACAAACAGGCCTCCAGCCTCCTCCAGGCATTCAGCGGGTGAAACCGCCCCATCCCTCCACTGAAGGAAGCTGATGTACCTGTCTTATGGTAGCCGTGCACCAAGACGATGCCGAGGTTGGTGGGCTTCAGTCTGCGGCCGTTCTCCACCGTCACGTAGTTCCTCTGGCAGATGTTGTTGATGTGGACGGGGATGCTGGCATCAGTGCCTTGGAGACCAGTGTTAGGGTTAGATACGTCCTGGTGGTCAGCAGGTCATTAACAGCAGTTCTACAGTGAAATCTGGAAGGTCTACATCTAGGATGGCTTCCTGGAAACATAACGGCTCAGTCTCTGAGAAACTTCTTCTGCCTTAACCTCCTCACCCTTCTCTCCTCTGCCTCACCCCTTTCTCTTCATCCTCACCCTTCTGCCTCACCCTTCTCACCCTTCTCCCTTCCGCCTCACCCTTCTCTCCTCTTCCTCACCCTTCTCTCTTCATCCTCATCCTCCTCTCTTCCGCCTCACCCTTCTCTCCTCTTCCTCACCCCTCTCTCTTCCGCCTCACCCTTCTCTCTTCCGCCTCACCCTTCTCTCTTCCTCCTCATCCTCCTCTCTTCCTCCTCATCATCCTCTCTTCCTCCTCACCCTTCTCTCCTCTTCCTCACCCCTCTCTCTTCCGCCTCACCCTTCTCCCTTCTGCCTCGCCGTTCTCTCTTCCTCCTCATCCTCCTCTCTTCCGCCTCACCCTTCTCTCTTCCTCCTCATCCCCCTCTCTTCCTCCTCATCCTCCTCTCTTCCTCCTCATCCTCCTCTCTCCTGCCTCACCCTTCTCTCTTCCTCCTCATCCTCCTCTCCTCTTCCTCACCCCTCTCTCTTCCGCCTCACCCTTCTCTCTTCCGCCTCACCCTTCTCTCTTCCTCCTCACCCTTCTCTCTTCCGCCTCATCCTCCTCTCTTCCTCCTCACCCTCCTCTCTTCCTCCTCACCCTCCTCTCTTCCTCCTCATCATCCTCTCTTCCTCCTCACCCTTCTCTCCTCTTCCTCACCCCTCTCTTTTCCGCCTCACCCTTCTTTCTCCCTTCTGCCTCACCGTTCTCTCTTCCGCCTCACCCTTCTCTCTTCCTCCTCATCCCCCTCTCTTCCTCCTCATCCTCCTCTCTTCCTCCTCATCCTCCTCTCTCCCTCCTCATCCTCCTCTCCTCTTCCTCACCCCTCTCTCTTCCGCCTCACCCTTCTCTCTTCCGCCTCACCCTTCTCTCTTCCTCCTCATCCTCCTCTCTTCCTCCTCATCCTCCTCTCTCCTGCCTCACCCTTCTCTCTTCCTCCTCATCCCCCTCTCTTCCTCCTCATCCTCCTCTCTTCCTCCTCATCCTCCTCTCTCCTGCCTCACCCTTCTCTCTTCCTCCTCATCCTCCTCTCCTCTTCCTCACCCCTCTCTCTTCCGCCTCACCCTTCTCTCTTCCGCCTCACCCTTCTCTCTTCCGCCTCACCCTTCTCTCTTCCGCCTCATCCTCCTCTCTTCCTCCTCACCCTCCTCTCTTCCTCCTCACCCTCCTCTCTTCCTCCTCATCATCCTCTCTTCCTCCTCACCCTTCTCTCCTCTTCCTCACCCCTCTCTTTTCCGCCTCACCCTTCTCCCTTCTGCCTCACCGTTCTCTCTTCCGCCTCACCCTTCTCTCTTCCTCCTCATCCCCCTCTCTTCCTCCTCACCCTCCTCTCTTCCTCCTCATCCTCCTCTCTCCCTCCTCATCCTCCTCTCCTCTTCCTCACCCCTCTCTCTTCCGCCTCACCCTTCTCTCTTCCGCCTCACCCTTCTCTCTTCCTCCTCATCCTCCTCTCTTCCTCCTCATCCTCCTCTCTTCCTCCTCATCCTCCTCTCTCCCTCCTCATCCTCCTCTCCTCTTCCTCACCCCTCTCTCTTCCGCCTCACCCTTCTCTCTTCCGCCTCACCCTTCTCTCTTCCGCCTCACCCTTCTCTCTTCCTCCTCATCCTCCTCTCTTCCGCCTCATCCTCCTCTCTTCCTCCTCACCCTCCTCTCTTCCTCCTCACCCTCCTCTCTTCCGCCTCACCCTTCTCTCTTCCGCCTCACCCTTCTCTCTTCCTCCTCACCCTCCTCTCTTCCGCCTCATCCTCCTCTCTTCCGCCTCACCCTTCTCTCTTCCTCCTCATCCTCCTCTCTTCCTCCTCATCCTCCTCTCTTCCTCCTCATCCTCCTCTCTCCCTCCTCATCCTCCTCTCCTCTTCCTCACCCCTCTCTCTTCCGCCTCACCCTTCTCTCTTCCGCCTCACCCTTCTCTCTTCCTCCTCATCCTCCTCTCTTCCGCCTCATCCTCCTCTCTTCCTCCTCACCCTCCTCTCTTCCTCCTCACCCTCCTCTCTTCCGCCTCACCCTTCTCTCTTCCGCCTCACCCTTCTCTCTTCCTCCTCACCCTCCTCTCTTCCGCCTCATCCTCCTCTCTTCCGCCTCACCCTTCTCTCTTCCTCCTCATCCTCCTCTCTTCCTCCCCATCCTCCTCATCCTCCTCTCTCCTGCTTCACCCTTCTCTCTTCCTCCTCATCCTCCTCTCCTCTTCCTCACCCTTCTCTCTTCCTCCTCATCCTCCTCTCTTCCGCCTCACCCTTCTCTCCTCTTCCTCACCGCTCTCTCTTCCGCCTCACCCTTCTCTCTTCCTCCTCATCCTCCTCTCTTCCTCCTCATCCTCCTCTCTTCCTCCTCACCCTTCTCTCCTCTTCCTCACCCCTCTCTCTTCCGCCTCACCCGTCTCTCTTCTGCCTCACCCGTCTCTCTTCCTCCTCATCCTCCTCTCTTCCGCCTCACCCTTCTCTCTTCCTCCTCACCCTTCTCTCTTCATCCTCATCCTCCTCTCTTCTGCCTCACCCGTCTCTCTTCTGCCTCACCCGTCTCTCTTCCTCCTCATCCTCCTCTCTTCCGCCTCACCCTTCTCTCTTCCGCCTCACCCTTCTCTCTTCATCCTCATCCTCCTCCTCTCTTCCGCCTCACCCTCCTCTCTTCCTCCTCATCCTCCTCTCTTCCTCCTCATCCTCCTCTCTCCTGCCTCACCCTTCTCTCTTCCTCCTCACCCTCCTCTCTTCCGCCTCACCCTTCTCTCTTCCGCCTCACCCTTCTCTCTTCCGCCTCACCCTTCTCTCTTCATCCTCATCCTCCTCCTCTCTTCCGCCTCACCCTCCTCTCTTCCTCCTCATCCTCCTCTCTTCCTCCTCATCCTCCTCTCTCCTGCCTCACCCTTCTCTCTTCCTCCTCATCCTCCTCTCCTCTTCCTCACCCCTCTCTCTTCCGCCTCACCCTTCTCTCTTCCGCCTCACCCTTCTCTCTTCCGCCTCACCCTTCTCTCTTCCTCCTCACCCTTCTCTCTTCCGCCTCATCCTCCTCTCTTCCTCCTCACCCTCCTCTCTTCCTCCTCACCCTCCTCTCTTCCTCCTCATCATCCTCTCTTCCTCCTCACCCTTCTCTCCTCTTCCTCACCCCTCTCTTTTCCGCCTCACCGTTCTTTCTCCCTTCTGCCTCACCGTTCTCTCTTCCGCCTCACCCTTCTCTCTTCCTCCTCATCCCCCTCTCTTCCTCCTCATCCTCCTCTCTTCCTCCTCATCCTCCTCTCTCCCTCCTCATCCTCTCCTCTTCCTCACCCCTCTCTCTTCCGCCTCACCCTTCTCTCTTCCGCCTCACCCTTCTCTCTTCCTCCTCATCCTCCTCTCTTCCTCCTCATCCTCCTCTCTCCTGCCTCACCCTTCTCTCTTCCTCCTCATCCCCCTCTCTTCCTCCTCATCCTCCTCTCTTCCTCCTCATCCTCCTCTCTCCTGCCTCACCCTTCTCTCTTCCTCCTCATCCTCCTCTCCTCTTCCTCACCCCTCTCTCTTCCGCCTCACCCTTCTCTCTTCCGCCTCACCCTTCTCTCTTCCTCCTCACCCTTCTCTCTTCCGCCTCATCCTCCTCTCTTCCTCCTCACCCTCCTCTCTTCCTCCTCACCCTCCTCTCTTCCTCCTCATCATCCTCTCTTCCTCCTCACCCTTCTCTCCTCTTCCTCACCCCTCTCTTTTCCGCCTCACCCTTCTCCCTTCTGCCTCACCGTTCTCTCTTCCGCCTCACCCTTCTCTCTTCCTCCTCATCCCCCTCTCTTCCTCCTCATCCTCCTCTCTTCCTCCTCATCCTCCTCTCTCCCTCCTCATCCTCCTCTCCTCTTCCTCACCCCTCTCTCTTCCGCCTCACTCTTCTCTCTTCCGCCTCACCCTTCTCTCTTCCTCCTCATCCTCCTCTCTTCCTCCTCATCCTCCTCTCTTCCTCCTCATCCTCCTCTCTCCCTCCTCATCCTCCTCTCCTCTTCCTCACCCCTCTCTCTTCCGCCTCACCCTTCTCTCTTCCGCCTCACCCTTCTCTCTTCCGCCTCACCCTTCTCTCTTCCTCCTCATCCTCCTCTCTTCCGCCTCATCCTCCTCTCTTCCTCCTCACCCTCCTCTCTTCCTCCTCACCCTCCTCTCTTCCGCCTCACCCTCCTCTCTTCCGCCTCACCCTTCTCTCTTCCGCCTCACCCTTCTCTCTTCCTCCTCACCCTCCTCTCTTCCGCCTCATCCTCCTCTCTTCCGCCTCACCCTTCTCTCTTCCGCCTCATCCTCCTCTCTTCCGCCTCACCCTTCTCTCTTCCTCCTCATCCTCCTCTCTTCCTCCTCATCCTCCTCTCTTCCTCCTCATCCTCCTCTCTCCCTCCTCATCCTCCTCTCCTCTTCCTCACCCCTCTCTCTTCCGCCTCACCCTTCTCTCTTCCGCCTCACCCTTCTCTCTTCCTCCTCATCCTCCTCTCTTCCGCCTCATCCTCCTCTCTTCCTCCTCACCCTCCTCTCTTCCTCCTCACCCTCCTCTCTTCCGCCTCACCCTTCTCTCTTCCGCCTCACCCTTCTCTCTTCCTCCTCACCCTCCTCTCTTCCGCCTCATCCTCCTCTCTTCCGCCTCACCCTTCTCTCTTCCTCCTCATCCTCCTCTCTTCCTCCCCATCCGCCTCACCCTTCTCTCTTCCTCCTCATCCTCCTCTCTTCCTCCTCATCCTCCTCTCTTCCTCCTCACCCTTCTCTCCTCTTCCTCACCCCTCTCTCCTCTTCCTCACCCCTCTCTCTTCCGCCTCACCCGTCTCTCTTCTGCCTCACCCGTCTCTCTTCCTCCTCATCCTCCTCTCTTCCGCCTCACCCTTCTCTCTTCCTCCTCACCCTTCTCTCTTCATCCTCATCCTCCTCTCTTCTGCCTCACCCGTCTCTCTTCTGCCTCACCCGTCTCTCTTCCTCCTCATCCTCCTCTCTTCCGCCTCACCCTTCTCTCTTCCGCCTCACCCTTCTCTCTTCATCCTCATCCTCCTCCTCTCTTCCGCCTCACCCTCCTCTCTTCCTCCTCATCCTCCTCTCTTCCTCCTCATCCTCCTCCTCTCTCCTGCCTCACCCTTCTCTCTTCCTCCTCATCCTCCTCTCTTCCGCCTCACCCTTCTCTCTTCCGCCTCACCCTTCTCTCTTCCTCCTCATCCTCCTCTCTTCCTCCTCATCCTCCTCTCTTCCTCCTCATCCTCCTCTCTTCCTCCTCATCCTCCTCTCTTCCTCCTCTCTCCTGCCTCACCCTTCTCTCTTCCTCCTCATCCTCCTCTCTTCCGCCTCACCCTTCTCTCTTCCGCCTCACCCTTCTCTCTTCCTCCTCATCCTCCTCTCTTCCGCCTCACCCTTCTCTCCTCTTCCTCACCCCTCTCTCTTCCGCCTCACCCTTCTCTCTTCCGCCTCACCCTTCTCTCTTCCTCCTAATTCTCCTCTCTTCCTCCTCATCCTCCTCTCTTCCTCCTCTCTTCCTCCTCATCCTCCTCTCTTCCGCCTCACCCTTCTCTCCTCTTCCTCACCCTTCTCTCTTCCGCCTCACCCTTCTCTCTTCCGCCTCACCCTTCTCTCTTCCTCCTCACCCTTCTCTCTTCCTCCTCATCCTCCTCTCTCCTGTCTCACCCTGCTCTCTTCCTCCTCATCCTCCTCTCTTCCGCCTCACCCTTCTCTCCTCTTCCTCACCCCTCTATCTTGCGCCTCACCCTTCTCTCTTCCGCCTCACCCTTCTCTCTTCCGCCTCATCCTCCTTCTCTTTCGCCTCACCCTTCTCTCTTCCTCCTCATCCTTCTCCCTTCATCCTCACCCTTCTCCCTTCATCCTCACCCTTCTCTCTTCATCCTCACCCTTCTCCCTCACCCTTCTCCCTTCATCCTCACCCTTCTCCCTTCATCCTCACCCTTCTCTCTTCATCCTCACCCTTCTCTCTTGCGCCTCAGCCTTCTCTCTTGCGCCTCACCCTCCTCCCTTCATCCTCACCCTTCTCTCTTCCACCTCACCCTCCTCCCTTCATCCTCACCCTTCTCTCTTCATCCTCACCCTTCTCTCTTCATCCTCACCCTTCTCTCTTGCGCCTCAGCCTTCTGTCTTGCGCCTCACCCTCCTCTCTTCCGCCTCACCCTTCTCTTTTCCGCCTCACCCTTCTCTCTTGCGCCTCAGCCTTCTCTCTTGCGCCTCACCCTCCTCTCTTCCGCCTCACCCTTCTCTTTTCCGCCTCACCCTTCTCTCTTGTGCCTCACCCTTCTCTCTTGCGCCTCACCCTCCTCCCTTCATCCTCCCCTTCTCTCTTCCACCTCACCCTCCTCCCTTCATCCTCACCCTTCTCTCTTCATCCTCTTCCATTTTCTCTGTATTTCTCTGAGCTTCCAGCTGCTTCCTTTCTTAAATGATCGGGTTTAGGGAGTTTTTCTCCTGTAGAACTCGGTTCTCCTACCGATGCCGTGTTTCTCCATGAGCGTGATGAGTTCAGCCTCTGTCAGGTAGTCAGGAGGACTCGTCTGCCGCTCCACCAGCTTCACCTCCTCCACTGTAAAAGTGTCTCCATGCTCACAGGCAGGCAGAGCTTCTTCCAGCGGGATCCCCTGCCAGGGCATCACCGCTGTGTAACCTGGGAACATAAAACACTCCTTAGCGCCCCTGAGCTGGGTCCTGCCTCTCTGGACACAATAAGATTAGCTAATAAGTTAATTAAATGGGCAGACGATTCCTGAAGGAGGGACAGAAAGGTGGACATGGTTATTAGAAGGATCCTATCTGCCTTCCTCTGGTCCCATTCTGCATCATTTCAACCATAAAGACACCAACGCTGTGAAAGCAGAGCTGCTGAACATCAGTTAAACTTCACTCAGATCACAATGATTCTGGCTAATTCTTCTGTATATATCAGTCCTACAGCTCTGCTGTGTTACGAGTGCTGTGTTGTGCATGAATACCTTCATATTTCTGATGAACTGAACCGATCATTTTTGTGCTAATGAAAGTGAACGAGAGTGACGTTCCCTCTGAGAATAATGAGCGACACACACAGCTCACGTTCGTGTGCAAGTGATAACGACACTTTTTATTGGATAACTTTTTATTATACTTATACTAGTCTGCTCCATTCAGAATCATCTGCTGGTGTTTCTGATGCCAGTTTAGCAGAGCATTTGGCAGAGTTTGTCAAACCAACAAAAGAAGACTGGGACAAAAAAATAAAAGCTTCACTGCACATCCAGTATACCCTGACCTGCATCCATTTCTTTCTATATATTATGATCACGCATTTAAAGGGTGAAATAGGAGGTTCTATTGAGGAGGATTGTGGCTTCATTTACCGGCGGGCGGTACGTCTGGAGCCAAGGTATTGCATTGCACTCATTGCACTGATTTTGTGCAGTATTATTGGATGCAAGGCCTTTCAGAATCTATAACGTAGGGGCATTATTATTTTTCAATGAATGGGGTTTTAATAGGAATAGGTGGAGTACAACTTTTCTACTTCTGGTATTTGCTGTTTCTAAAAAAAAATGCAGAACGATATTACAGCTTTTATTGATTTATTTCAAATTTGAAACATTGTCTAGCCTGTAAGGTGTTAAAAAAAAATTAACCAATTAATTGAATCGTGGTGTATTCTTGAGTATCGAAAATAATCGAATCGTTGGGTCAGGAAATCAAATTGCCATGATGGATGTGATTTACACCCCTAATGATCAGCAAGGTAGGATCAGTGACAGCTTATCAGAAATCATATAAAACGGGCGCGGCGGTGTTGCAGGGGTTAATCGGTCATCCGTCTACCGACGCTTTGCTCCTCGACGTGGCCATCATCAGCATGGTGACCTTTCACCTTCTCTACTCCCATTTCCTGTCTACCTACCTATGAAAAAATAAAGGCCACTAGAGCCTTAAGTTAATCTTAAAGGTATAGAGGATGATCTTTTATTTCCAGGTGGATCATCTAAATAAGCGGTCCTCCTAATTGTCAATCATTCTGGTGATTTGTTAACGTAAGGCCGTCCTACGTGTTCGTCCCGTTAGCTATCTTTTTCTGCGCATTTTCACTTTCAGGCGTATATCTGTGGTGAGCTACGGTTTCAGACAGTCATGAAGCTCGCCTTTCTCACCGCGGTTCTTTGAAAATGGCCGAGGGTTGTAAGAAAAAAGTGTCTACGAAGTGAATGAGAAGAAAAGAAAGGCCTCAGAAGAGGCAGATATAACCCAGAATGCTTTGCGCGTAGCGCTCTGCCCGCAAAGCATTATGGGATTTGCTGTCACAGCGGCACGCTGTCGCCATAGGCTGTCGCTACCCGACAGCGACGACTAATACCAAAGATGGCGCAGGCACTGCCCGGTGAAGGAGGAGTTACGGTACCAACAGGGAGAACAAAGTTGTGATCATCTGTCCGAGCGGTCAGTTAACTGAGTTCACCATATAGTCCCCGCTTTATATAGTGATTGAGGGATTTAGGGGTTAAGGTGGATATCCGGACAAAGCAAGCTTGTATGAGCTATGAGAACAGCTACTTTTAAACAGAAAGTGCACGAGGAGAAATGGGCTCGTGCACGCTCTCGCACGCACATTGAAAGGGCAGGTCTTTTAAAAAATCCGTGAAAAATCCTCCACAATACCTTTAAGAAAAGAGCTAAAACCGGACGCAGCCGCTCCATCAGCTGAGAGAGGAAAAGGAAGAAATGACATGAGAGTGTTTCTCCTTCTAGACCCGACTCCTGGTCTTACCTGCCGATATGAGAGTTTTCCCGCTGCAGGAGAAGGCCTCCGTGCCAACCCGGAAGTCAATGGTGGTTTGTAGGTACTTGCAGTCCTGACTGACGGTGGCGATGAAATGTCGCGTGATGTAGTCGTAGAGCCGCCAACCGTCGCTGCCTGCAAGAAGCGAGGAAAAATTCCCTGAGAAACAAACTATTTACCAACCAGGACAAAACTGGATTCTAACAGAAATATTACCACTGTTCTCTGTCATTACAGGAAAGCCAACAGGGCTTCATCTGTTAAAGGAAAAGTCGCTCATATTCAGAATTAAAACTTTCGAAATTCCTTTAAAATTAAAATTATTACCAACTGTTCAATAAATGATCAGTGTTTTTAATTCAGAGTAATTTTCATGTGAATGTGCTTTACTGGAGGCATCCATGTTTGTCAAAGAACACTACTGCCACCTACTGGTTTGTGACGTCTCGGTGCGGTATCGGCTGTTGATCAAGTCCCAGTGCTGTATCTGCTGTTTGTCACAATGCGCTATTATCCAAGTCATCTTGAAAACATTCTTCTTCCAAATGTTGGCTACATATTACGTGTTTTTTCTCTGGCCGGAAGTTCAATGGCAAATCCTCCCTCTTCAAGTTGGCGATCCAACGACCAACCCGTCCGTGGAGGATCAGGAATCAGAAAGGTGAAATAACTCTTTATTTACCCGATGTATTCCAACATCCAGCTGCCATGCACGTGGGCATTGTCAGTTTCACTATAGCTCTGGTGAATTTCAATGGTGAAGTCCTCTGGAAATCTTCAATAATTGTTGTTGATTGCAGATGTGTCTAGTAGTTCCCATTGATTTAGCTTGTAAAGCGGGGAGAATGGCGCTAGGCTTACCGCACCGTGACGTCACTGCCGGAAGATGGCAGGAGGGAGGGGCTACTATATTTGGGCAAAAATGGCCGCTCCCAGACTCAATCATTGTGACGAAAATGATTATTTTTATTTTACTGATTAACACTAAAATCATTAAATCACGTTTTAGTTTTAGGTATAAATAATGACAGGACCTTTCCTTTCATATTTAATGTTAATCACTAGTTGCCTGATGATTGTTTTTAAACACTCTGTTCCTCCTGCAGGTTCTCATCATTGGTTCTTCTACTTTTTTTGGAGCTTCTGTGATTTTTGTGTTTTAAACTGATGCATAAGGCCTCCTGTGGTTCCGTTTTAACTTTTGTCTGATTCACTGCTGTGTCTCTTCTGACCCTTCATCCTTCTGCTTTGAAGACAAGAAAGAAAAACTCCATGAACGAGCTAGAAACTAGCCCTGAAACACCGGAAACCAGCACACGAGCCTACACACACACCGTACCCCAACACAACATTATGCAGACTCATTATTCCCTTTCATGCAGCCCGTATGACTCACCCAGCTCCCCCTCTGACGCACAACGCATGGGAGTGATGGGAGGATGGTCTCCTGCGTCGCTGCCCTTCCTGGGACGGTTTATACCGGATGACAGAAGCGCTTTCACCTGATAAAAAAACAATATTTTAACTCTAAATGAGGTTTTATATTTATATTCATGGTCAGATACCTCTGATTACGTTTTGCACTCATCCTTGAATAAATGAGGCTGACTAATTATGGATTCGCAGCACACAGCCTTACCTCCTCCGACCACGCTGGATTGTTGACCTGCTGCTTCAGGGTCCCCTTCAGGTCAAAGTTCTCGGGGTAGTGGGTGGTCTCAGTCCGAGGGTAGCTGATGTAGCCCTGGGTGTAAAGGCGCTCTGCGATCTGCATGGTGTGCTGGGGACCCATACCTGCAACGACCCGGCAACACGTCTGATCTTCCTCCAGACCAAGGCTGGTCAAACTTTGAGCTCCGTTCTACAGATTATTGTTTATTTCAGACTCAGAGTGATTCTAAAATATCCTATAAGTGAAGGAATATCTCAAGGATGGATGGATACTACACAGCTACTGCTACCTACTCTAGAGCTAGCTACTATAACTTTAACGACAGAGGAAACTGATGAAGGGCTGGAGCGGATGGTGTTGAGCTGATCTGATGGGATTACCTAAAGCAGAGCTGGCCACTCTCAGCATCTCCACAGTATTCAGGGCCTGAGGCCTCTGTTTGGCCTTCTCCTTTTTGCTCACAGACTCCACCTGCACCCAGAAAACACATCATCATCATCATCATCATGATCCTAGTTACAATCCAACACCGGATATTATTATGGTCACAACAGACCCAGGTCACAAAACTCAGTGGTTAATCAGCCCCTACTTTCTATACTATACTACTTACTATACAGCCTTTACTACCTACTAAAACCTATTATAGTTACTACTACTTTATAGCTACAGAGATACAGCCTTTCTGCCTACTACTACCGTACTACAGAGTTACTACTACTTATTATACAGCCCTTCCTACATACTATAGAGTTACTATTACTACTGTATAGCCACTACTAGGGCTGGGTATTGTTCAAAAATTTTCGGTGCCGGTACCAAAACCAATACCTTCACTTCGATACCGGTTCCTGAACGATACTTTTTTCGATACCAGTTTTATAATATCAATTCGAAGAAAAAGAAAATTACACAACATAACAAAGTACAAAACTTGAGTTTTATTTTAAGCTCTGATTTTTCCATTTACATTTTTCCTCTTACATAAAAAAATATTTTCAGTGAAGAAGAACAGTTGCAAACAAGTCAGTGTGTAATATTCACTGTTACATTGTGAGGACCTTTTTACTTTAGAAAAATTAACATGTCTGCTTTCTCTGGATCTGAGCGGTCTGAGCGGCTCCGACAGAAATAATATTGGAAGGCAGGATGGTAATCTGGATGAACTGACGGCACTGATGAAGTTTTCAGGTGGACTTTCTCACTTAAAAACATATTAAAACTACTTTATTCCCACTGATCACAGCAAATATAGCTGCAAGGCAAATAAAGGATAGAGAAGCTCCGCCCAACGCGCGTCAGACACACTTTTCGACCGCGCAGCCAGAGCAGCAAAGCTACTTCAGCCGCGCGTCAGAACTAACTGGCACAAGCAGCAAAAAGGAAGCAGCAGACGCGATTTTGCTGCTCCTGCTGCGTCCGGTGTGAAAGCAGCATGATTCACTCCGCTCTGGCTTTGCTCCGCCCACGGGCTGCTGAGAGGAGGATGGTCGTGCCGGCTGCGGTCCGCTCTTCTTGCAGTCAAACACCGAGCAACTTTCTGCTCTTAAATTGTTTCCGTGCATGTATTTCATTGCGCGCTATTGGCATCAGTCTTAATAAAGTGAAGCCGCACTTTTGACCTGGGGGGCATTTTAAAGGAGTTCCACGATGCTCGCAACCGGTTCACAACAGCTACACATGAACCCTGGCTGTAGGCGTGACCACCTATGTATTTTACCTGGATGACGCAATCACGTTAAGTGTTACAGCCAATCACCGAAAGACGAGGCATGTTTCGGTACCATAAAAGAACCAATGTTCAGTACCCAGCCCTAGCTACTACTACATATATACAGCCTTTACTACCTACTAGTACTTGCTACTACTAGAGTTACTCCTACAACTATTGTAAGGCTAATACTATCCACTATACAGCCCTTCTAACATACTACTTCCTACTATACAATTACTACTACTACTACTGTAAAGCTAGTACTACCTGCTAGTGCTGAACGATTTTGCCAAAAATCTAAACTGCGATTCTATTTAAATTTTGTAGATGTTTCACCTCTAGGCTTTTGGTTTTTGAACGCTTGCTTTCCCAGAGTCCATTATTGCAGGATTTTACTGTAAATTTTGAGTTTAAAGGTCAAGTTTCTACGCGTTAGCTGCAAATCTCTCTACCCTTTTGTGTGGCAACAAACCCACTTCAACACCTAAAGGACTGGAGGGAGAAATTTACTGTCTTAAAAATCAGTGCCTCTGCAATTTAAAAAATAGAATTTTGTTAAATTACGATTATATTACAAATGCAATTAATTGCCCATCCCTGCTACCTACTATACAGTTACTACTGTAAAGCTAACAATACATACTATTACGTCTTTACTACCTACTACTACCACCTATTAGAGTTCCTACTACCTAAGTTCCAGCTGCTACATACCCAGTACTAACTACTACACAGTTACTACTACCGCTACTATGCAGGTATATAATTTTATGTGACAGTGTCAGTGTTTTAAGTTTTTGATTATATCATCAAACGGCTGCATGATGCCTGCCGGATGGAATCAGAGCTCAGGACTTTGGTGCGGTGATCCTTACCTGGGCCTCCTTGGAGGTCTTGGCCAGGCTGACAAACATCTGCCCCACCTCCCTGTCGAAAACCCTCACCCTGCTCCAGTCCAGGGTCAGCGGGGAATCCTTTCCTTTGAACACCTGGCCAACACACAAGACAGTTTAGCAGCCTGAGCTCAGAACCGCTTCTAAAGATCCAGCCTGAAATCTGACTGTGTGCGGGATTCTCCCAACCAGAGCCGCCCCCCCTCCAGACAGCTGCTGGAAAAAAATGAAACCTAAAGATGGTGGTACCCAAACTCTCTGTACCAAACCAGAACCTACAGACAACTAAAGGACCTAGGATACCTTTGCCTGGATGACCCAGAATGTTTCCGGTTTAAAGGACTGGATCTTATCATGGCGCTCCACACAGAATCCGAGCGTTGGGGTCTGACACGGTCCAAACGAGATTAGAGACGAGTCCAAGTTCCCATATTTGCCCTGGAAATATTTGGTCTGGAACCTGAAAGCAGACAGGAACAGAGTGAGAGACAAGACCTTAGAGGATCTAACCGCTGCTCTCCTCAGAATCCTACAGCCTCGCGCCGGTGTTCCGTCAGATGAGCATACCCGGTCAGACCAGCACACCCATACCCGTCTATCCCTTTAGTTTTGTACTAAAAATAAACTTTAAACTACCTCAAAAGGGGTGTATTACTTTAGTAAACAAAAAACAATTTAATTACTTACTTTTTGGTGTTTTGTGTAGCGTATGGTGATCTGACCTTAAATAGTTTTTTTTTTCCATGACTAAAGGGATGCAAGCTTGCCAGGTAGTTTAAAGTCTATTTTTCATACAAAAACTCCAATCTGACGTCTTGCACATTTGATTGACTATGGGTATGCTGGTCTGACAAGGTATGCTCATCTGACAGAACACCTCACTGCAAAAATGGTCTCGAAATAAGTAAAAATGTCTTAATTCAAGCGTATTTACCCTTCATTTTAGTAGGTAAATAAGATGATTTGCCAATGGAATTAGTATTTTTACTCTTAAAATAAGATTATCAGATAATATCCACTTGAAATAAGACAATGCGGTTGCTTTTTCTTATTTTAAATGTAAATTGTCTTGTTCCATTGGCAAAGCATCTCACTTACCTCCTCAATTCAAGAACAAATGCACTTAGTTTAAGAAAAAATGACTGATTTAGATTTCCATTTTTTGCAGTGCGGGAGCAGAACCGGACCAGTCTGAAGCATATTTTCTAATCGAGGAGCTGATGGGTTCTCTCTGAAAAACAGATAATGCAAGTTTGATTATTTTTCTTTACACAAATATAGATATTACAGAGTAGATTTATAATTTGCATGAAGAGCATCTAAGCTGCTTTGGATGATGTCATCAGGTCAGAGGTTGAGTCGGATCCGCCCACCGTGTGAAGGCACAGCCGATCCGCAGGTCCAGCTCCTGGCGGGCGTCCACCGACAGCGCCTCGTTCTTGTTGGGTTCCCCCAGGCGGTTCATGGCGTTCCAGATGTCGGTGTCGGTTATGGAGCTGAACTTGGCCCGGAAAACGCTCTGCTCTCTGCCGTCGCCTTTATTCATGACAGGCTGGATGGCATCCAGAACCTGGGGTTCAAAGCGGTGAAGTTGTTAAACGGACGTCGGTTTTCTGACTCCAAACAAACATTTATCCTTTGGTGCAAAGAGGTCAGAGTTAGAGTACCTCGAAACAGATGTTTTCGCCTTCTTTGTCACAGTCCAACCATAAAACCACACAGTCGCAGCCTCGGGCCTCAACCTGCAGGAACTTCACCATGTTCAGCTTAGGGTTGGCCTCCTTCTTCTCTGTGGGAGCTTTACTGAACAGTTCTGCCGGGTCCACCTTGTCCCAGTTGTTGTATTTTCCTACAAAGAGAGCAATCTGTCAGAAAATCCAGGTGGCCGATTCCGATCTGTTGACTGAGACACGGATTCTATGAGATCTTTCTTAAGTTTACATCTACTAACAGTGGTGGTCTGGAAGGGCCTTCAATATTGGCCTAAAATCACAACCTAAACTTAAATTTTCCTCTTTCCATCTGTAATAATTTATTCCAATTCATTTATTTTGTAGCGTTTCTCTTTGCTGCGCTGCTTCCATTACATTTATCTGGTTGCTATATTTTTTGTCCAATCAGATTTCAGCCTTCGTGGGTTGCTATGGGGCCAAAATGGTAGCTTTAATATTTGCAAATGTGTGTGGAGAGTTGTGTGTCTGTATCTCGATTTGTGTGTGTGCAGTGGGATTTGAAAATGTGTAAATAAATCTGTAAATGTGTGAGGAGATTTGTGTGTCTGTACAACAATCTGCAAATGTGTAAAACTACTTGTGTGTAATCCGTTTTGCAAATGTGTAAAAAATCCACAAATCTGTATTGAGATCTGCAAATGTGTACTGAGATTTGCAAATGTGTAAAAAATCCACAAATCTGTATTGAGATCTGCAAATGTGTACTGAGATTTGCAAATGTGTAAAAAATCCACAAATCTGTATTCAGATCTGCAAATGTGTACTGAGACTTGCAAATGTGTAGATCAATCTGTAAGCACACACAGAGACACTTGTGTCTGAAGTATTTTCGCTTCAAGACCCAGAAATACAGACAAATCATTGGTTACAAGTCAAGCGGTTTTTCAGTTGGCTCTCTTTACACACGTGATTTTTGCTACTCTTCTGCCGCGTGAGATGCACAAATGCGTAGAAGGATTTGTATGTGTATTTTCGCGATTTGTAACCCCTTGCGCAGGCTCGCAGGCTCACATGCTGCCCTGACCACAGGCTCACAGACAGCCTCTACCTTTTTTTTTTTCCTCCGCTGCGGGAGTTGACGTGACAAGGATGATATTGATACCATTCAGTAAGGAAATTTTTTTATCTATTATTAAACAAAAGGTTACGGAAAGATGGCAGAAGCTGTGGGAAGAGCATAGAACTGGAAGTTGGCTTTATAGTATTCAAAGGAAAATTGGTGAAATGAGGAGAACGGAAAGGAATAAAAAAGAGGTTATATCTAGATTAAGTTTCGGAAACACGGGGTTAAATGGAAACTTATTTAGAATGGGAACAGGAGGTTGTGGTTTTTGTTAGATTGATCTACACATTTGCAAGTCTCAGTACACATTTGCAGATCTGAATACAGATTTGTGGATTTTTTACACATTTGCAAAACGGATTACACACAAGTAGTTTTACACATTTGCAGATTGTTGTACAGACACACAAATCTCCTCACACATTTACAGATTTATTTACACATTTTCAAATCCCACTGCACACACACAAATCGAGATACAGACACACAACTCTCCACACACATTTGCAAATATTAAAGCTACCATTTTGGCCCCATAGGTTGCTATGTCAATCAAATCTGCCCAGAGCCTTCAGTGCTGGCTTCTATTACTGTAACAATATTACTGAGGAACGTTTTCTTCAACCAATCAGATTTCCGATTTACCCCACAGACCAGCCATCGGGCCCGCCCCTACGTCAGCATTTTCTCTCCTCTGATTGGTCAGTTAGAGCTAAACGTTTACAGCCAAGTTAAGCTAGCGGTAATCTGTATTTTTGATTCACTTTTGTTCTTTTGTTGTTTGTTTTTTTGTTTTTTTTTATACTTTAATAATCCCAGAGGGAAATTACCTGCGCTTGTTACAGTTCATATTTGAATACTATTGGGGGGGTTTCTGTTATTAAAGGTATACTATGCAACCGGTGTTGATTTTCCAGCGAGGCTCCCCCCAGAGGGCGAAAGTAAAAGTGCACTGTCGTAAATATGCTCGGCTGTTCTCCTGGTTTCTCCGTCAAGCCAGGCGCGGTTGTTTTGAGCTTAGCAGACAGGCGAACGCAACAAATCACCATGTCTACTGCGGTAAGTGACTATTTTGTTCCAATTTTCGAGTTTGAAAATTTAGCATGTTTTCATACATTATTTGTTATGCATGTGTCTAAATAACAAAGATTGTAGTTAGCCAAGTTCTCGCCGTAAAGCAAGACCGACTCTCGCGATGCACGAGAGTTCTGAGCCTGTGGGAGCGGGCCGAGGGCTCCTGCAATTGCAAATACTGTATTTCCCCTACAGACCACCAGGGCGGCCGAGAAAACCTTTGTTCGACCTGAAATGACTCATTTAATCATCCAAAATGTTATGGAACACATTAATTAACTGAAAAATTTTGCATAATAAACCTTTAAAATGCAAAAGTGGTGATATTGACACCTTGACCCCAATTGTTGCAAATTGAAGTAGATTAAGTTAAGGGTTGCCCACTGAAGGCCTAGGTACCACATGCAACGCCCACCATTGTCTACAGATACATCTTCAGCCCTGAGAAGGTTGTTCCTCCTCCTGGTTTTAACCCAGAACTGAGAGAACTTAAACTAACTAGTGTTGGCCAAGTGGTTAGAGCAGTGTGCTTGTGAAGCTGGCAAGTACCTGGTTCGATCCCCATAGCCTCCACTCTGGGTTCCTGAGCAAAACCCCACACTGCTCCCCAGGCGCCACACAATGGCAGCCCACTGCTCCCACAAGGGGAGGGGTCAAAATGCAGAGAGGGAATGTTCCCATTGTGGGACAATAAAGGGTTTTACAACCCAGAACTAAGAAAACTTAAAGGTTTACAAACATGAATGAAGAGCAATAATTCACAGTTAAAATAATTTCTCAGGATTGGCTTTACTCTGTCTGAGGCTTGAAGGCTCATCAATGTGTTCTAATGGATCGGATCACAGATTTATTATAAAGCAAATATAAATATGACAATAGAAACTAGGGTTGCATGAAATCAGGGAAAATGATCCTAATGTTCCAGCAGCATGGATCAGATTCAACCCACATAGCTGGTAATCATATGTGTTTTAGGGCTCTTCAGTCCCTTGTATTGTTAATTTTTAGGTCACAGGCAGAAAATGTTAGGAACCATTGATATAAAAAAATGGAGCATATTTCCTTTACCACAATTATTGGACAGTAACTGACTCCTTTAGCTTTGATTCTGCTGCTTCAACCACCGGGCTGTGGATTACAAACCAGGGAGTTTACTAAAGCTATCATCTTTTAAATGAAGAAAGCATGCTACAGCAGAAAACTGAGCACAGGCCATGACTTTTGGAAAACCCACAACTACTGACAGGTTGCTTCTGATCCACCAGAGCTTGGATCCTTAAAGATCTGGAACAGAACGGTTTCCCATGGTGCCTGAGAGGGTTCAGATGATTCCTTTCAGTTTTCTTCTCATGAACTCGATGCCACAACCTACCAGGAGATAAAGTGAGCAGCACCGGTTCAGCAGAAACCCACCAGTAAAATCCAGGCTCATCACATGACCACAAACCGAGGTCATCTTGAAGCGGACCGTCTGGCCCTGGAAGCTGCCGCTGTACTCATGTACCGAACACGCTCCGTTCAGGCCTTTCCGACTGGAGCAGCTTCCTATAAGAGAAGACAGGAACCAGAATGACCCGATAGAACACATTATCCAGACTGCAGATCCATCCAGATAATTTTTTTATATAGTAACTGGTAGCGATGGGTCCATTAACACCGATGGGGGGGAGCCCATAGAACAGAACACCGTATCGGTGCGCGTCTCGTTTCAAGAAAGTCATGTGACCGATACAGGAGTCGTTTCTAACTGACTGACTTACTAAACTCTGTTTAAGTCTCATCTTTTGCAGTTTATCATTAAAATTATAAAGAATTTTGGAGCCAAAAAAGGAATAGGAACGTTTCAGCCGTTGCATTTTTATTTTTATTTTCTCATTGTGTCATACATTTCCTCTCAGTTATCACTCAACTTATCTGTATTAAAGTTAATTTCAAATTGATTCTTAGTTTATTTACTGTTTTACTGTACTTATTGTTTTAAAATAATGACTTAAAATCCTAGTCCACAAGCATCCTCATTCACATTTTCCGCTGAATTATCACATCATGATATATGTTTACCTTATTTATTGGCAGCATCTAAAAATATCAAAGATATTTTCATTTTAACCCTTTATAGGTCACTCAATGAAATACTTTAAAAATCAAAATTTCAAGCCAATAGTGTTTTTCCAATCCAGGAGAAGACCTTATTACCTTTATAACACTAAAAAATATGGATATTCTGATGGCAAAAATTAATGTCAATAGACATTAACTTGCCTTATTATATTAAGAAAAATAACAAAAGTGCTTCTATAAGAAATTCATGAAAAACACTCTGAGAGTGAAAGAAACACTTTTATTTTGCTGTTTCTGGCATTTACATTTTTTTGTTGTTTATAAACCTAAATATAATAAATTTTAACGTTTTAACTTTTCAATTAGCTTTTTACCTGTTTTTCTTAACATGTTAACCTTTTCTTTTTCCAACTTAATTTTACAGTAGGTAATATATCATTCAAGGGCTCATCTAATTGGTCAAATACCAAAACAAGATATAGGCTACATCCATGTAGTCCACTGAGAGACTCCATTTGTAAGGGGTATGCTAGGGTAGCTTGCCCTATAAAGGGTTAAACATAGCATATGGAAATAATATAACCTACAATAACTTTAATGATATTTTACTAGGTCATCAGATCAATTCAGTTTAGTCTGTAGTGTCTTTAAATGTCCAGCAGGTGTCAGTATTCTAACCTCCAGGGTTCAGAGAGCAGAATTAATACTAATGTAGATCCAGGATGTGGTTCAAGTCGGTGTCAGCTTTGAACCAGCTACTGAAGCTATTGTTATTTCTGATAATAACATGGTTTAGGTTAACAAATATTTTCTGCTGCCACTTTGTGCGTCTTGCGTTTTAAAAGCGCAACTTTAAAAGGTCCAAACCAGGCAGGACTCCAGTCTAAAAGCGCCTCTGCGTTGAATTGCTCTGCAGGTTGATTAATCAGGTCTGCTTTCCTCCAACCATCATATCCATCCAAATGATGCTATATTCTCTCCAAATGATAACTAAATTCTCTATGTTTCTGATTAAAATTATTCTTATACAATGTTTCTGTAATAAGACGTTTATTTCTTGGTCTGAATCCTAAATGAACTGAATCAGTCTGAATCAATGAAACAACGTTTTCCAGAATCTTCTAATTAATCGAACAGGTCTGTTTAAACGGGCTCTGATTTACCTTTGGAGAGGATTTTAGCGATGGACTGAGCCAGAGAAGGTTTCTCTGCCACCATCAGAACAGTTTTCATTCTGGATGAGGAGAACTTTCGTCCCTGTAGATCAAACTCTGCAGAAATAATCTCTCGATGTAAGCTCCTAGTCTGGGACGGCGAAACACGGACAGTTCACGGCTCACAAAACGTTAAATCTCTTGTTTTGTTTTCGGCTAAAGGCAAAAACTCCTCACTGCATTTACTTCCGGGGTCACATGGATAAGTATGGGTACCCGAAAGGGTCATATAAAAAAAAAAATCGCGTACCAAAGAAACGCTGCAGAGCAGAAATCCAGCATTCAGTGTAAATCGATTCCACTGCCTTTAATTAATTGATAAAAAAAAACTCTAGGTTATATAATAAATACCCACCAATATTGCCCAGTTTGTTGATTTCACAATGTAATTTGCTTGATAAAAAATGCAATAATAAATTTATTAATAGTTTTTTGAAAGCCAGAAAATGTCATTATTGTGATAGATTTACTTGGAAGAGAGATATTTCTGTTAACTCAGATACAGTCGATAAAGCTTTCTCAGAATTTGTTAAATGGCCTATTTTACCTAAAGTCAAAGAAACACATTTGAAAGTTATTAACAAAATTTATCCTGTGGCAGAATTTTTAAGAAAAAGATTTGGTTTTGAGATGGATCAATGTTCTTTTTGTTGTAATAATAATAGTGAAACCGTTGAACATATGTTTTACCACTGTCCCACTACACACCGCTTCTGGAAAGACTTGAAAGACTGGATATCTTTAAAAATTAATGATGTCCCCCCTTTTGCACTAAATGATGTCATTTTTTATATGGACCATCTTCCCCAGCCTGTTTCTTACACTATTAATGTCCTCCTGTTGTTGGGTAAATATCATATCCACTGTGCTAAATGGAGAAATTCTAAACCTTCCTTTCATTGGTTTATGAAGGACTTTAAAATCTATTTTTCTTCTCTTAAGAAGATAAAAAATGACAAATATGCCAAACAATTGAGACTTGATTTCTCCAAACATCTGCTATTTTGAATGCATTCACCTTTTCGTTTCTATTATTTCTATGGCTCTGTCTGTGTTTGTTTTAAATGTTTGCTTAGATAAATCCCCTGTTTAACTTTTAGCCCTTTAATCGTTCATTTCATTTCTATTCTCAATAACGCATTTTTTGCACAAATGCCTATTTGCACTGAACCACTGCAACTTGCACACTGTCTCTTATCCTCTGCACTGTTCACACTTTGACCACTGCTGCACTTTTTGTATAACTCGTGCCATTTGAAATATCAATGCAATGTTCATAAGCTGTATGTAACGCAATTTCGTCCTGTATGCACTCTGTGCATACAAAATGACAAATACAGAAGTCTAAGTCCGTTAGTTGTTTTACTTCTTTGTTTTTCTTTTATTGTAATTGATCTTTATCTGTTTATGTTTACATTTGCTATCCTCTCTGAGAGTATTTTTTTAATGTAAATGTTTGTTGACTTAATAAAAAAAAAAAGAAACCAGCATTCAGTTTGTAAATATTGTTTGTAGATACACGTTGCAGTGAGATAAGAATAAATACTGAACGCTTTATTTGTTTATAAAGCCTATATTTTATATTAACTTATTTTCAGTACGATTTAATCCACTCTGATATTTATTCTTAGCCATGGTTCTCTTAGCCAGATTATTACAGATTGCTAAAAAGAGCAAAGCGAAAATCAAGAAAATATGTCAGTTATTTTATTAAATCACACGTAATTTCATCTTCTTACTTAAGATTTTGAACAATCTATCTATCTATCTATCTATCTATCTATCAATCAATCTATCTATCTATCTATCTATCTATCTATCTATCTATCTATCTATCTATCTATCTATCTATCTATCTATCTATCTATCTATCTATCTATCTATCTATCTATCTATCTATCTATCTATCTATCTATCTATCTATCTATCTATCTATCTATCTATCTATCTATCTATCTATCTATCTATCTATCTATCTATCTATCTATCTATCTTTCTATCTTTCTATCTATCTATCTATCTATCTATCTATCTATCTATCTATCTATCTATCTATCTATCTATCTATCTATCTATCTATCTATCTATCTATCTAAATATCTATCTATCTATCTATCTATCTAAATATCTATCTATCTATCTATCTATCTATCTATCTATCTATCTATCTATCTATCTATCTATCTATCTATCTATCTATCTATCTATCTATCTATCTATCTATCTATCTATCTATCTATCTATCTATCTAAATATCTATCTATCTATCTATCTATCTATCTATCTATCTATCTAAATATCTATCTATCTATCTATCTATCTATCTATCTATCTATCTATCTATCTATCTATGCTATGGCATCATGAACTGATGTAACACTTCCTTTTTTACAGTATTCAGCTAAAGTCAGCTGTAAATGAACCAGTTTTTTGGAAATAGTATCTTGTTTTGAGCTATTATTACTTAGCTGGACAATAATTTAATTTTAATTTAATTTCTCCTTTTTTACCTAAAAAAATAACTGAAGTATGAAAAAAACTTAAACTAGGACAAGAACAAATGAAAACTATAGTAAAAGTAATAATTTCTTAAATGCCAATTAACTGATCTAGAGGACAATATGATCACAACTAAATAAGAGTAAACAGGAATAAAAAAAAATCCAAACTATAATAAAATTGCACCTAGATTATAAGACACTAACCTCTAAATGTAATATCTCTTTGTCACGCAATGCATATATTTCACTTGGTTTTATTATTTTTCCTGTATGTGTGCAGGGTTAACTGTTTGATGTGAAATGATTTTCTCCAAATAGCAGGCCAAACTTTATCTTTCGTGTGGAAACTTTGCAACCGAGGCATCAGTGGGAAGCCAACCTTTGCTTTCATAACAATAATAATTAAACTTTATTGATCTCACGTTGGAGAAATTTACCACTGCATTTTGACCCATCCTCTTGGGGAGCAGTGGGCTGCCATTGTGTGGCGCCTGGGGAGCAGTGTGGGGTTAAGGATTTTGCTTAGGAACCATCGAGTGGAGGCTGTGGGGTTCGAACCGGATGCTTGCAACCTTCTCAGAGCACAAGCGTACCGCTCTAATTACTAGACCAACACTCCCCCCAGTGTACGCAACCCAAAAGCACTCTGGTCTTATTTCTCTCTTCTGAGGCCTTTCTTTTCTTCTCATACACTTCATAGACACTTTTTTTTTTACGACCCTCTGCCATTTTCAAAGAACGCTTGTTAGAAAGGTGAGATTCCATGACCAGCTGAAACCGTAGCTCACCACATAAAAGTGTGCATGCACAGAAAAATATATATAACGCACGTAGGACGTAGGACGACCTTACATAAACATATTACCAGAAGGATTGACAATTATGAGGACCAATTATTTAGATGATCTACCAGGAAAAAGAACATAATCTACTGTACCTTTAATTTAAAAATATTGTTTGATTAAAATGTTTTTCAAAGTTTCTTTCTAGGTTACATTTTTCTCAACTTTTCATTTACAAAATGTATTTGTCAGGATTCCTGTCTGTGTGTCTGTGTTTGTCTCCCTTTCTCCACCAGGAGGCGCCTGGTTCTGGTCCACCTTCTCACACACCTGCAGATGGTTACCTCGTTAACGGAGCGCTCTTAAACTGCTTACTGCCACTACCTCGAAGCCAGAGTGTTTGCCATTTTTGGGTACTCTAGCCAAGCGGAGTTTTGCTGAGTCAAACTGAGTTCTTGTCAACCTGAGTCTTAATCTTGTTTTTTGTCTTTGCCTCTCGGCAGAAAGTCATCCTGCAAACTGGATTTTTCTGACCTTCTCTCCCTGGAAGGACCATCTGAGCTTCAAACTGAGCTGAGGATTTAAACGGGAGGTTTGAATCTACTTTTCCCCAAGAGAACGTTTGAGCTTTACACTGAGCAAGGGATTCATCTCCACTACGACCCGTTCAAGTACCGCAGGAAATCTGAGTGGCAGTCAGCTTCTCCGTTCACCTACAAACAACCGCATCCTGGGTAACCCTGTCCGCCCTCCACCGAATCAGACAAACACTGGAACTATCTCACACAGACTGGAGTCAAAGAGTCAACCACTTTTCTGGAAACGTGAGTCAGCAATCTATTTCTCCTCTTCAAGTTCGAGAATAAGATGTCCCACTGAGCCTCAACTGACCACAGTGTCTTCCCCTCGCTTTCCAGTTCAGGTTGAGCAGTGTTCAGAGCAACACTATCTCTTCACTATCTCGTCAATAAACCTGTTAAACCTTTTCCCTGGTCTCTCTGTATTGGTTTAATGCTTTTGGGTCAGATCTTAGTAAAATCATGACAGTATTCTTTGCAACAATAATGGAACAAAATTCACTCCATAAAGGGCCCTAAGATCGAATATTTCTTGGGCCCCATTCAGGTTTGCCCCGTCCCTGGGTTTAATTATTCAGCTGTATTCAAGGCACAATTACTATGTTATAGGTGGTCTCTGGGCATGAATGTTTGTCTGTCTGTCATTGTGTGAGTAAAGTTTTTTCAGCATAAAAATAGCTTATTTCTCAGCACAGATTTGTCGGGGGTGTTCCACTCTGAATGGGTGAGGTCACAGGAAGATGAGAATGGAGTTTGGAAGATGTTTCTCCATCAGGACGGTGAAGGTCTGATGAGTCACACAGGAGGTCAAAATACTTAACGGTGATGCTGGACCATGAATGGACAGGTAATGGGAGTCCACCCAGTTGGACGGCTCATCAGCATATACCGGTCTAACCTTTTATCAGGAGGAAGGCACTATCAAGGCTAAATGCTAATGTCAAAAACAGCGTAATGATGCTGAGCATCATGGCCTCCGGTCCAGAACACGTAAACTCCAGCCTCAGCCTTCTCATCAATACCTCCACCAATCTGCATAGATGACAGGGTTATGATGACAGCAGCATGGCATATAAATAAAGGTAGATCCAGCCATTGGTTGGAAGGAAAAAGAATCGAGACATCAGTCGATCAAATCTGCCAGCAGGAGAGAGAAGTCAGCCTTACACCATGGGAGCGTTTCAGGTGAGAGTTCTATCTGCACCATTAGTGTTTCATTAAAGCTGATAGAGAATGAAATCCATTCCATTTTAGGCAGAAGTTAGTGAGTTGGAGCCTGATAGAAGGTGCTTTCAGGTTTCTATAGGACTTTTTCAATAGTCGCTGCAGATTGTTTTAGGACAAATAGGGAAACGTTATTCAAGTTTTTACAGACTGATATGCATGTGATCTTAACATGAAGAATGAAAAAACCTGATCAAAAGAAAAAGTCAAAACTTCTGTAGATATTTGTATTTACCCTTCATTTAAACAGATAATGAGATGATCTGCCAATAGAAAAACTATATTGTGCATAATTTAAAAAAAAAAGCTCATTTTAAATTATGCACTTCAAATAAGTTAATAGATTAGGTTTTTTTTCTCATTTTAAACATAAATCATTCTACTCAATAAAAAATGTACCTAATCAGACCATGAAAAAATGACTAATTTATATATTAATGTGTGCAGTGCAGGATCCAGCGCACTGGAAAAATGATCTAGAAATAAGTGAAAACATTTCTTCAATTATGTGTATTTAACCTTAATTTGAGTAGGTAAATTAGTTTGCCAGCGGAATGAGTATTTTTACTCTTAAAATAAGATAATTAGATAATATGCGCTTGAAATAAGACAATGCAATTGTGTTTTCTTATTTTGAATGTAGATTTTCTTGTTCCATTGGCAAAATGTCTCTTTTACCTCCTCAATCCAAGAACAAAAGCACTTCTTTTAAGAAAAAAACGACTTATCTAGATTTAGATTTTTTTACAGTACGTCTGGCTGGTCCCAATTGATCAGATCACTGGATGAGCAAAATTTTAAATATTTCTAATACATTTTCTTGATATCACTGTATCTTTTCTTTCGTTTGAGCAGGTAAAAAGTATGCCACAGAAATAGGATTATTTATGTTTAAAAAAAGAAGAAACAACTGTTTTATATTTTCTAAATTGCACAATAATTAATAATCTTATTTAATAAGGGCAAAATCCTGTTATTTACTTGCTCAATTTAAGACAAATAAACTGACTTTAAGAAATGTTTGCACATATTTAAAGCAGTTTTTGCAGTGTTTATGTGTTTCATGGATCAGAAGGGAAACCAGCATGATAATTATTTGTTGTCAGATCCTTTTCTCCTCTCATAATGTGATTAATGTTGAAATTTCAAGTTTATATTGTGTTTTTTTATTGTTTGTAATGTTTTTATTCCAAGTAAGTTTATAGTTCAAATTTTGAATCTCGATTGTTGTGTGTTTTTGCGACAGATGCGTGTCTTCCTGCTCTGTCTGCTGATCCTCCAACAGTCTCTGGCCAAGCCAACGAGCAGTGAGTGTTTTGGTGAAGCCCTATGCTTGCTCTGCTTGAGAGATTACTACAGCCAGCTGGTCAATCTACCCAGTGACATCAACACACGCAGCATTGCACCCTGGGTTTACCAGTGAGTACGGACCGTCCTCTCTGATAGGCTCTGAATGGACCTGAAACTTATTCTCCTGCCTGAACAATATGGAGTGACTTCTGTTCCATTATTGCTGCGAGCAAAGAGTCCTTTTTGTAAATGGATATTTTGAAAAAAGAATTCAATCCAGAAAAAAACTTCTTAGAAAAGGTTTTATTTTCTATTTTATTATTTAAAAAGTTGGAAAAATAACATTTGAGAAAACACTATTTTTTTATGAAGTTTTTCAAAGTTTAGTTCCTGCATAACAATTTTTTTTATTTCAATTTCAAAAATGATTATTAGATTATTTTAATATTTTATCTTTTCAATTTTTGATTGAATAATATTTTATTTTATATATTTTTTAACCATTTTAAATTTAAATGTTTTATTTTTTTTTTTTGGAGCCAGTTTTTTTTTTTTTTTTCAGTGCAAACCAATAGAAATGCTCTCTCCACACGAATGCCCGCCCCCACAAGTAAAAGAGAATGTAATCTGTGAAAAGCAATTGAATACAATTTATAAAACAGACTGAAAAAGAAAAATTTGAAAAAAATTAATAAAATAATAAGTTGGAAAAAAGGTTATATAAAATTCATTTTCCATAAGAAAAGAGCAAAAAAAAAGGTGTCTTTTTCTTGCAACAATAATGAAACAAACTTCACTCCCCAGATGGAAATTCACTGCCAACAAAGTCAAATCAAATTGAACTTCCAAGCTCTCCTTGTTTCTATTCTGTCTGCAGTAAAAACGAAGACTTAAACCGGGACCCTCAGATACTCTACGAGGCCAGGTGCCAGGACAGCCACTCTGGCGGGGGCTGCAACAGCGCCTTGGGACTGGAGACCATCCCTATCACCATCAGCATGCCTGTCCTGAAACGCTCCCCCGGCTCCAGCTACTCTGTAGAACTTGAGAACATCACCGTAGCTTGCATATGTGCATTGTCCCGCTTAGAGACAGAATTGATACAAGGGTGAAGTTCAGACATCTGGACGTTTGTGTTTTCAGTCAGAGAAGATGTGATTCCTGCGATCAGAGATAACTACTTTATCTTCATCACTGTAGCCATCATAAAACTCAGAACATACCTGCTAATGACTCATCTCAGTAAATAAAGGCAAATCAGAACCATCAGTGTCGTTATTGTTGCAGCTTATTTCCAGAACAATGGATATTGTTGTAAATATACATGGAAACAGTAACATGAAGCAAAATGAGTTCATATGTTGATGGCTCTGACAGAGATATGATGTGAAATCCCAGAAACCTATTTCAGGGATTTGATTATTTTTTTATTTCCATTTCATTAATGATGGATGACTACAGCCATTGTAAACCTAAAGACAACTGAGTCAAAAAGCTAAAGTATAACATAATACCAGTAAATTAGTTGTTTATTTTTACACAGACATGTGGGCCTGCTACTGCAGGACACCATGACCTGCATCAGTGCAGCTCAGCCTGGAGGAGATCAGCCTGTTTGTCATGATGTTACAAAGTTAAGACCCAAATGCAGTAAACCTAAAGAGAGAGTCCAGGGAAAAGGTTTAACGGGTTTTATTTGAGAAGTTAAACAGAGGGAGAAGTGTTGCTCTGAACACTGCTCAACCGGAACTGCAAAGCGAGGGGAAGACAGCGGTTAGTTCAGGCTCAGTGGGGAATTTGGCTCGTGAATTTGGAGAAGAGGATTTGGTTGCCAACTCACGTTTCCAAAGAAGTTGTTGAATCCTTGACTCCTGTCTGTGTGCCGTGGTTCCAGTGTTTGTCTGATTCGGTGGAGGGCGGAACAGGTTTTACCCAGAATGCGGTTGATAGTTGGTGAACGGAGTAAATGACTGCCACTCAGATTTCCTGCAGTACTTGAACAGGTCATAGTGGAGATTAATCCCTTTCTCAGTGAGAAGCTCAAACGATCTCTTGGGGAAAGTGGATCCAAACCTCCTGTTTGAAACCCCAGCTCAGTTAGCTCAGTTGATCCTTCCAGGGAGTGAAGGTCTGAGAAATCCAGTTTGCAGGATGACTTCCTGCCGAGAGGCAAAGACTAAAACAAAGTTAAAACTCAGGTTGACAAAACTCAGCTTGATTTAGCAAAATTTAGCTTGGCTAGAGTACCCTAAACTGGCAAACACTCTGGCGTCGAGGTAGTGGCAGTCAGCAGCTTAAGAACACTCCGTTAACGAGGAAACAATCAGCAGGTGTGTGAGGAGGAGGACCAAAACCAGGCGCCTCCTGGTGGTTAAAGGGAGACAAACACAGAAACACAAACACAAAAAAACAGTCCTGACACTGTGGTTCTTAAACTCAGCCGACCCCAGCAGCGGTTGGAACCAACAGACACTGCAGGAGCTTCATCCTGGACCTTTTAATTTGGCGCCTTTTTAATAATTATTATTATTATTATTGAACTTTATTGATCTCACATCGAAGAAATTTACCTCTGCATTTAACCCATCCCTTTGGGGAGCAGTGGGCTGCCATTGTGGGGCGCCTGGGGAGTAGTGTGGGGTAAGGGGTCTTACTCATTGACACAGAGTGGTAGTCTGTGGGAGTGGGGCTCAAACTCAGAACCTCAGGATTCCAAGCTCTATGCCTTAACCAGTAGGCCGTCACTCTCCCATTGGCCACTTTTCCACAGGTGTCAAGTAATGAAGTATAAATACTTTCTTTTCTTTATTTAAATATTTATTTGTCTGAGGACTTTCACTGTTACTTACCAAATTCAAACACAAATTGCCTCATTACTTCTCTAAATCAGGAAGAGAATCTGTTAGTATACGGAGAAAGTGTTTCAGAAAATAGATACGTTTCTGAGATGCAAGAATTCCCAAATTCATATTATCCTGTCTGAATTTGAATTAAGAACTAAACTAAACAGAGTCCATATTTTTAATGGCGTCTCTACAAACAGTCATCAAAAAAGGAGAATTAACTCATTTTCTGTTCATAGATTTGTTTTTATAGGAATATAAAACAAATCTACCAACAGGTACAGTATCAATAAATAACCTTGAGAGTTTTTTTAAAAGTTTAAATATTTTTCAAGAAAAAACAATGTTCTTAAGTAGAATGCTAGAAGAAATATAATGAAAATAAAGGCATTTTAGGAACAAAAGAAAAGGTATTGAGACATTTCATAACATATCAATGTTTTAATTGTTTTGAAATAGGGAAATTATCCAAAACTCATAGAAGAAAAAAAACATTTTAAGAAGGAAATCAAAGTTAAAACTGTGAAACATTTGACCAACAGAATTGAACTTCCCCCGTCCTTTCTATCTAGCCCAGGTGAGGCGGTTCTGCTATGGTTCAGAAGTGGGGACACGACAGCTGTAGCTCATGTTCTGGATGTTTCTGTCTGTTATGACTCTTTAGGCATCGACTCAAGTTGGAGTCCAAAGCTGGTAGTTCTCCCAAAACCACACTGTTCCCAAGGAGTCAATGACTTTCTCCTGGAATCAGCAGTCGTCCCCTTGATTGGACCGTCTATTACACGGGCATAACATTATATTTCTGGTTCTCAAAATAACTTTGTCACTTTAAAGGTAATTAGTTTTTGGACCTTCCAAAGTGACTGATAAGCAGAGGCGGATTTAGGAAATTTGGGGCCCTAGACAAAGACAGGCCGGGGGGCCCTCTAAATCTAGAAGACAACACATAAAACAGACCCGTTCTACAGATAGAGAAATGTTAATAGAATAGACATCCATTATCTGTTCTAGGTTTTGTCCCTCTATTTTTGTCCCTTTTCTTCTTGTTTTCCTCTCTATGTTTTGCACTCAGCTGACTTTTCATGCTGTCTCTAAAGGAATGAAAGATTTTTTCCAAGCACTAAGCTCACTTAGCTGATTGCTCCTTCCTGTGTTTCCAAAAAGGCCAAAGTAAATAACCCAGTCCTTCTTTTCACTGTAGACAAGCCATGATCTGCTTCTCTGTTCTCCATTTTTCATTTGGATGAAATAATAGCTGCATGAATCATGACAGCAGACAAGATAGAGGAGAGCAGGAGGCGGGGTTACCAATCTACTTGCTCTGGAGAGCAGAGCTCGCTGCTTTTAGATGTTGACTCCAAAGTCTCCAGTAGCAGAAAAAAGTCGCTATATTTGGCGTTAGGAGCTTTTTAGAAATCAAAGTGCTAGAGGGGTCTGAAAAGTGGCTAAATATAGCGACTAAAGCGCTAAGTTGGCAACACTGCTCTTTGCATCCTTTGTTTTCAAATGGTTTGCTGCTGTCTGTTTGGACCTTTCTGAACATGTGCAGCAAATGGACTGATCCAATATGGTGGACACTGAAGGGGGGGGCTGCGACACACTTCTAAGCTTTCTGATGGCATTTTAGCGAAAGGATTTTGATCAAAAACATAATTAATGTGCAGACATAAGGAGTAGTTCTATTAACTATACATGTAAACAAAAATTTATGGGGCCCCCAGGAACTTGGGTCCGTAGGCAACTGCCTAATATTGCCTAATAGTAAATCCCCCCCTGCTGATAAGTGTGGCTAAAAATTATAAAGATTTAACTGATAGTTTTAAATATGAAGTCGAAACAACAAACGCAGGTTTCAGTTTGTTTTTTTGTTTTTATTGAAATAATTAATTGTATTAAATTTCCAGGAAAGCTTATAAAAAGTCTCAGTAATTTTTTATCAATTTTTCTTATAAACAGGTTAGAAACACAATTTATTTTCTGAGATGTGTTTTTCTCTCTTATCATTGCTTGTTACTCTTAACTGGGATCTATTCCTTTGAAAATGATAAGATTAGCATCGAAATGTCGAGACTTTTAATGACAAATTTTTGGGGTCAGGAGATACAATTCAGCTTGTTCCCAGATGGATCTGAAACATGAAAAAATGTTTTATTAGAACTAGTGCTTTTATGCACTTATGTTATTGTTACCTTTTTGGTTGTTTTATTTTTGTAAAAGAATGAAGGATTTAAAGTAAGTCAAAGTAACTAAAACTACTAAATATAATATAGTTTAATAAGAATATAAATGTTATCAGGTTTGTATACACATCAAGCAGTATGGCTTAAAGGAAAATGTGCAGGTGCATCTTTGTTTATTAGAATAACATCAATAAATGAAATTATTTTGGTCATTTTATGCCAGATTTTAGTAACTTGAAATAAAAATTAACAACACCTTGATATCATATTTAATATACGACACAGTGTTTAATATTGAAGATCTATTTCTTTACATCTGACGGACGCCCACTGACTTACCCTCCTTTAATGCACAAGGAGGTTCAATCACCTGCAAAGCTGGCTGTTTTTAAAGTGCTGTGTCCAAGAATAATTCTGTAAAGGTGAATGGAAGGAAAACCTGTGCTAATATTGTGCTTTTACCACCAGAAAAGCAAATTTATTTCTACAAGGGGATCCATCCATCCCTATATTTCCAGTTACTATTTTTCCCAAGCAGGGGCGCGAGGGGTCCTGGTTTCTATCTCCAGCTGTCTACGGGTGAGAGGCGGGGTCCATCCTGTACAGGTCGCCAGTCCAACACAGGGCAACACAAAGACAAACAGGACAAACAACCATTCACACACACTCACGCCTAAGGAGAATTTAGAGAAGCCAATTAACCTAACAGTCATGTTTTTGGACTGTGGGAGGAAGCCGGAGTACCCGGAGAGAACCCACGCATGCTCAGGAAGAACAAACTCCATGCAGAAAGACCCGGGCCGGTAATCGAACCGGGAACCTTCTTGCTGCAAGGCCACTGAGCAGCCACAAAGGGATCCATTTGCTGCACAATTATTATGTTTTATTGTGGCACGAACTAAAATAAAAAAATAAAATGACACTTTTAAAAGACATGGAACTAATCAGTGGTTCACACATGTATACTTGTTAGTGACATAAATCATCAAAAATCTCACTTTTTATTACAAATGAAACTTAAATAAAAAAAAAAGGAAAAAAAAAAAAAAAAAAAAAACAATACTATGATTTTTACGGCTGTTAGTCTCTGCTTTTTGTAGCAGTTAAATTGGTGTCATGTTCCTTTAACTGTAAAGCGGAAGCAGCAGAACTCAGGAGTTAGGATCGCGCTTTTTTAGATCAGTAAACACTGTGGATGGTCCCGCCCCATTAAAATGGAGACGGAGACGCTGGGCTCCCGGCGGATGCTGTGAGAATCGGCGCCGTTGTCTGCGGTCGTTTTTGTGTAGCTGAAGGGCGTGTTTCTGCCCCACTGCTCTGCAGACCCAGCAGAGGAATCGCCTGTATCCCAGGGTAAGGACGAAACAGCACTTTCTTTTGGGGTTAAATGAACTTTTCTAAGTCCTGTAGCGCCATTAGCCTCTGTCCTGTCGATGTTTCCCGGGTGAAGCTGACCAGCTTCTAGGGGGGGTCTGGGTTCCTCCTGCTTTGACGCTCTTTCCTCTCAGACGGATTTCTCCGCTGGTACCGTTACTCTTCTGTTTGCTGCTTGAGCTAAGCTCTCTTCTTCACCCACAGGAAAAGTTTGGAGACATATTAGAAGATTGTTTATCTGAAAACCTCTGAAGAAGTTTCCTTAAACCCAGAGCAGCCGTCTGACTGCTGGATTATTTACGGAAGTTTGGCGGAAGGAAATGTACAGACTTTGTTGTTTTCATGTGTTTTAATAATTTTTTTGATTGATTTTATTGATTGATTGATTTTATTACAGACTCAAGGTCCAATATACATTAAAAGAAACAGATACACTAAGAAAAAAAAAGAATAAAAGTACAACAGAGAAGGTGCCTACCCCTTCAGGAGGCAATTATACCAATGTCTCCAAAGCACTGATGAGTATTTAACTGCACTATATTTGATATTGGTCATCATTTTTGTGTTCAATAATGCAAAATGCTTTCCTGTAATTGATCCTGACAACATAGTAGTAATTCTTTGTCATCTTGCCAGTATCCAGGGGCGTTTCTAAGAGTGAAGCTCTAATGGGCCCCATCCCAACTTATTTCCCATCTTTGAAATAGTAAAACAATTTGTGGACCACTGATTAGACATTATTGGATCAGATCACCAAACATGCCTGCTGCTGGGACTTTTTAATAAAATTGTTTATTCTGCAAAGCTGCAACCTTTAAAACTGTAGTCGTAGGGAAATTAAAATTAAATTTCAAATCATTCTGGCTTAAACATGTATATAAAGTACTCTTTATCAGACAATGTTGTCCCAAAAGTTAGATAATTTCTATTTCTAAAGTTATCCTGTCTAAAAATCTTATTTTTTTTTTTTTTTCGTTATCTGTACCGCCGCTGCCACAAACGCAAGGTCACCTTTGGTTGAGTCTGGTTTAGGTGCGGCCAGAAGCAGCTGAGTGGAGGATCTCGTGTTCTGGCAGGGGCATGGATTTGGAGGAGCTCAGTCAGATACTGGGGGGCTAGCCCATTAAGAGCTTTAAAAACAAACAATAACATTTTAAAATCTATTTTAAAAGCAACCAGAAGCCAGTGCAGCAAAGCTAGGACTGCTGATATGTGTTTTACGTGTGCCAGTAATGAGAATGGTGTAGTGTAATAAAACCTTGAAGCCTTTTTATTTTTTTACATAAATTGGCTTTTTAATTGTTTGGAATTAAATTGCCTGCGTGTCGCAGTGAACGCAAATGTGTCCCCTTGTTTTTATGACTGCCATAGCGGAAAACGACTCGTGAAGATGGACCAGCTAATAGAGCGAGGCGTTCGAGAAGGCTGGGACCCTTTTTCCACCTGAATCCCCGCAGCTCTTCGCCCTCCTGTCCTCATGGCCGTATCTAGACTCGGCGAGTCAGGCAAAAGAAGGCAGCCTTTGGTGAATTTACTTGACAGCTTTTGGGAAGTGGATACGACAAACTATAGCTTAATCAGGGCTTACACATGCAAAAAACAATGACACGTCAAGGTTCATCACACTGCTAAGCAGAACCATCACTGGAAATCATAGAAGTTATTGAGATTTAATGATTATGGAGGCTGACTGTGAGGAGATGATGCGATCTGCTCATGCGCTCTTTGTTATCAGAGAACTGAGCCAGAACTAGAACAGCGCCGAGTCCTACTGATGAACTAGTACTAGCTTAGCGCGGTTCGGTCATAATCCTGATCTCTTGTTTTTCAGATTGCTACCCGCTGCCTGACATCTCAAGAGGCTGGGATGGAGGAGGAGGCCCGGTGCTTCCTGAGGAGGTTTGTAGAGGAATTCCCCGCTGCTCTGAAGGCAGACGATCCCCTGCCGGTAGGCCTCTTGAGTCGTAAAGTCTCTTTGGAGGAGCTGCATGGAGAGAGCCTGGAACTGGGCCAGAGGCTGCTGGCTGCTCGGTAGGAACACTTCACTTCATCTTTTCTTTTGGTCTAGACTTAGGCTATGTTTTTGTTTGTTTTTTGTCCGTTTGCGATCCAGGTCACTTGGCTCTGTGGTTCTGAATCTGATATTTATCTAATCTTTTCAAATGCAACCAGGTCGCATCCATCCGACCTGAACGCCATTAATACTCAATAAAGGTCACTATTCTCTATTTGCCACGCAAAAGCAGGAAGAAAAAAGCAACCATGGCGGACGATAATGCGGAGAGCAGTCTTTATTTTCAACCATCTTGAAAAGATTGTGTTGTTAATGCACTGGTTGAGGTTGGGAAAGAAATGGAAGATTGAAAGATGTGCTCCTGCACTACCATCAGTGGCAACTGGTGGTGCTTTATCCAGGGGGGATTATAAATTAAAAATATACGTATACCAAAAAGAAATCAACAACAAAACACATTTTGAAAAAAAACTTTATTAAAACAAAACATAATTTCATATACAGCTTTACTTTTTGTACATACATTTTTACTGTTCTGAGGCTTTGTGAAGATAAATCTTTGTTTTGCACGGTCCAATATTGTCACAAACCTAAAAAAAATGTATGTACCAGTTTATTAATAGAGAAGCTGTTCGACAGCTTCATATTCTTTTAGTATATAAAAACTATTTATTTACTGAGAATGTGTTTAAGAGCACCTATGCAACTTATCAAACATCTAGAAAAAGTAGACTATATTCTATTATTTTCCAGGTGAATCCCAGATTGGTCATTCTTCTTTGCCTTTTCTAAAAGTGCTTTAAATCAGTCTTACCTGTGTTTATCTATGCTGGCTCAGATCCTGACGTTTGTAAAAGGAGGCAGGGAAAGTGAAGTAGAGCTTTAGCCTCGCTGCATGCGGTTAGTCTAACCTTGTAACTAAACCAGATCCTGGAAAAGGAAGCGTCTCCGACTCCTGCTACTCGACCTGTCAACCACCCGCAAAACGTTTGTGCTGTGGCAGGAGGTGGTGAGCAAATACACTTCCTGTCAATTCAGGGCGCCCCAAGCTCTCCTATACCTTTGTATTGCTGCTGCACATGTACAACTTTTAACAAGAGTCAAAGGGCAAAGATTTTTGCACCCCAAGGGCAGAGATAAGTCACCCATCTGATGAAAAATGAAATGACGCTTTACTAGTCAATAAAAACTACTTGCCCTTGGAGATCTGCCTGATGTTGCAGCTATTTTCAAATATCCATTACTGTAAAAAATGTCCATAGCTGTTTATAGCTGTATATTGGTTATTTATTCTCCAGGTGCACAGTATTTATATTGTTAAAACAATATATGTTTTAACAATGTTTGGTACACTATTTTATTGTTTATTTTATAACTCTTCACTATTATGTTATTCTTATACATTTTCTAAGGTCCATATTTGTGTGACCATTTTTTCTATAATCTTTTTGCTGCTGTAACACCAGAATTTCCCCATTGTGGGACAATAAAGGGATTTTCTATTCTATGAAAATCTTCAAATGTTTTCTAACTGTTTTTGTTTTTATTCTTGTTTTTTTTTTCAAGGTTGCCCTGGATAAAAGAGTTCATCTTAATTGTGACCTTCCTGGTTAAATAAAGGTTTAATAATAATCTCTCCAACTTGTTAGGATGAGATTTTCTATCCCTATTCGTCATGTTTTCAGAATAGAATTTCTAAACTCTCCCATCACATTCTCATAAACTGCACTTTCTTACCTAAATCTGCACCGTCCACAAACCCTATGTGTTCATGTCAGTGTGTTTGGGCATGACTTGTTGCATTCCTCACATGTTTTGGCAGCTCTCTTCTGCATTGCCTATTATTTCTGCACAGTTTACTCTGCTGTAGGAGGCCGCTCAAACAGTGGTTATGTTTGGTAAATAACACAAATCTGCAGAAAAAAAAAAAAGATAATAATCTGTTGTAATAACTGAGGTTACTAAAGATCCTCTTGGATAGTTGAGGTCATGGGTCACTTTGGTGTCCTTATCCGCTCACACAGAAGTCTGACAGCAGCTGCATTTTATTGGGAGCATGAACAACGTCAATACCTGCTGTGCTTGCGTAGCCTTAGCTTAGCTTAGCCAGCTTGGGCCATGCCCACTGCTCGTTTAGGGCAGGAAAAATGATCAGTTTTCAAAGCTCCAGAGTACGACAGCGTATTAGTGCCATTCACACAAGAATAATAAATGGAATTAAATTTTTTTTGTTGAAAGTGGCATTTTATTGAGGATAAACAACCAAATTTACAAGTAAAAAAAACAACACAAATTTATGAAATTAAAACATACGAATATAAGAGAAAAAGTATAAATAAGTAAAAAAATTAAGAGATAAGAGTGGCACATTTCTGAGATTTAAGCATGTACATGTGTGGAACAGTGCGAGATTCTAATACAGATTAAAGTATGCTACATAAAGCATATGTTAATGCACCATTCATTGGAGGGCTTTGGCGATGGAATGAGATGGTACAATGGCCTGCTCATGAAAGTTTTTAAAGTAAAAATGAATGATATAATAAATTTGCATCTTTATAATCTTGTAAATTTCCATGCTTAGGATCCCATAAATGTGCATGCTGATAATTTCGTAAATGTGCATGTTTTTTTTCTCGTAAATTTGCGTTTTAGTCTCGTAAATGTTCTACTTTTTCCTTCATAATTTGTATTTTTAAAATCTTATAAATTTTTTCTCATAAATGTACGTGCTTATTCGTAAATTTGCCAATATAGACTTAAGAATTTAAATTCCAATTTATAGTTTAGTACTAATGACCTTAAGCATGGTGCATTGATGCCACCTAATGGTAGTAGTAGCACATTGCAACCATCTGGGATCGAGACGTCAGTAAGAACTTGCTGTTATTTCTTTCAGAAGCGACCATGACAGGAAATGCTTAAATTGTACATAAAAATCAGCTTTAATCTGTAGTTCCTTCAGATATAAACGATATAAACACCATAAATGCAAATTAGCAAGATCCTTCTTCATTTTTTAAATACCGGTAGCTAAAACATCAAGTAGCATAAAGATAAATATCACAAATGCAGTCCATTGAATGAAAAATAAAGAATTTATATTAGAATCTAATCAGTCACTTCATATTTGACTTTCCTGAATGATTAAGTTAGTAAATTAAAATGATTGACCAGTTCCAAAGTTTGTAATTTTTTCTGCTATTGAATTTCATTAATGAGAGACTTTTACTGGAAACTTCAGAGGGAATGTACCACATATAGGGGTCCTAGAAGGTCCCCTCTCACAGTAGCTGTAGTTGAGCCCGTTGATGACATGATGTCATTTGTCAAACAGGTTTTATCGGGTTAGAATCTGAATAATTTGACATTAAAGGTCATAGATACATGTTTAACTCCTCCCAGTCAGTAGGTGGCGGCGGCGGCGCCCTCAATTTCCCCTTCTCTCCTTCTGTACTGTATGCCGACCAATTGCCAGGTCAACTAATGCTAATGGTTTATTGTATAACTGTTGAGCGTAAATGACTCGCAGAACTGCATCAGACCGTGCCAGATGCAACCGAACTGCGCTAAACTAGTACTAGTTCATCAGTAGGGCTCAGCGCGGTTCAGTTCTGGCTCGGTTCTCTGATAACAAAGAGCGCATGAGCCGACCGCGTCGTCTCCTTACAGTCAGCCTCTGTTATCATGAAACTTCAGACATTCATATAAATACTAGCTTCCCTGCCGTTTCACACGATTTCCAGTGATGATTCTGCTTAGCAGTGTGAACATCAATTCCTGTCGTTGTTTCCTGTGTCTGTAAGCCTTGATTAGACGATTGTTGTCGTATCCACTTCCCAAAAGCCCACTCTGTCAAGTAAATTCACCAAAGGCTGCCTTCTTCGTCTGACTCTCCACAAACTTCCTGAATGTTATGGGGGCAGCCATGTTGATTTGCTTGTTTCCGTCTATAGAGCAGTAGCACCATAGATTGCCACTAGAAGGCGAGGAACCATGATAGCGTGGTGTGTAAATGCTCGTGAAGAACCGAGCTCAGCATTGTTAACAGTTCTCCCACGTTTTGGCTGCTTTTGTCTTGAATCTGGGAATTTAAAGCCAAGAAGAAACCATTTCTCACAGACCTACTAGAATCTGGTAATGCCAGAGACCCGTCTGATGGATGTAGAATTATTTTGTGTTGATGTTGGCATCACAACCAGATATACTTTGGACCTGTCAAAATGTATGAAACAATTCCCTGTATTGTACTATTCTTTTATTGAAATGAAGACTTCTATTCTTCAACAGTATAGATGTTCTATTGATGTATTTATTAATCGTTTTGTTAAAAAGCTGTAGCTACGGCCTTTAACCAGTAAACCTCATATAAAAACGTGTCATAGGCTCCTGGGTTCTCCGTTTTTCCACATTTTTCCAGTTTCCTTTGCAAGGAAGAGTTCACATCCTGTCGGCAGAAACACCATTGTTTCCTCAACTTCCTGCCTGCCAAATCTAGCTTTCCTTTCCACACACGTGACATCGAACCAAGAGCCGGGAGGGGCACAAGCCTTCACTTATGTCACAGTTTGACTTAACTGCTGCTTATTTATCCCCCCGTTCATGATCTGATTTCCTGTCTTTGTGACTCAGGGATGCTCCTCCAGGCCTTAGGTTCCTCCTGTGCCAAGCAGCCATCGCCCAGCTTCTAAAGGATGACTTGTTACGGTTTCAGAGTCCTCAGGAAGCAAACCTGGAAGAGGAGGAGAAAGTGGTCTGTAAGTTTTTATTTTTTTTATTTTTATTGAAGCAAACGATAAGATAATCACAATAAGGAATACAGTTCGCTTTTTTTTTTTTGGATAAACATATACTTATGCAGGTATAACTTCTAATATATACACGCAAGTACAAATGTTGAAATTTTCACACCTACTATATATACAAACAATAAAAACAAAACAAAAAAAGAACAATAAAAAGAGAGAACGAAACACCCGATTCCCACCCTGTCTCAGCCCGACATGTTCAGCAGAAAAATAAAATAGATGATAATAATAGAAAAAAAAAAAAACATCAGCAAAATACAGCAACAGGCACATATATTTAGTTAGGTAGGGGCTCCAAATTTGAAAAATAAGAAACACAACACTGCCATTTTTGGGAAAAAATGTCTGTACATCCTCTCATTGTATATTTAATTTTCTCAAGTTTAAGGAAAAACAGCATGTCCTTAAGCCACTGTGCAATGGAGGGATATCTAGCAGACTTCCAGTGTAATAATAATGAACGTCTTGCAATTTAGGATGTAAAGGCTATAATATCTTTTTGCATTGAATTTAAAGGTACACTATGCAACCGGTGTTGATTTTCCAGCGAGGCTCCCCCCAGAGGGCGAAAGTAAAAGTGCACTGTCATAAATATGCACAGCTGTTCTCCTGGTTTCTCCGTCAAGCCAGGCGCGGTTGTTTTGAGCTTAGCAGACAGGCGAACGCAACGAATGAGCATCTGACGCGCGTGACGTGCCGCAAACGCGCTGCTGCTCGAGATGGAAAATTTTTGCTGCTCGACGCGCCGCGTCAACCAATCAGAGAAGCTGATCTGGGAGCTGGCAGGGAGAGAGACACAGCGCTGATGATCAGAGCGCTGATGATCACTCCTCTTAAACAGTTTATTGACGCCTAAATTAACTTAAAATGCAGAAATCTGCCGGCAGAATATGTTCGCTTTTAGTATCCTGCTGCCTGCAGTTTGGATTATTTAGATGAAAAACACCTACCAGCTGCCGCGGTGAACCGCGAGGAGGCGACCCGGCCAGAGGCTGCTGATGAAGGGATTCCTACTGTCGGTGCACCGCTGGTATGTGGGGGTCTGAGCGCTCCGACAGAAAAAATATTGTAAGGCAGGATGATAATCTGAATGAACTGATGGCACTGATGACGTTTTCAGGTGTATTTTCTCACTTAAAAACATATGAAAACTACTTTATCCCCACTGATCACAGCAAATATAGCTGCAAGGCAGAGAAAGGATAGTGAAGCTCCGCCCAACGCGCGTCAGACACACTTTTGCACCGCGCAGCCAGAGCAGCAAAGCTGCTTCAGCCGCGCGTCAGAACTAACTGGTACAAGCAGCAAAAAGGAAGCAGCAGACGCGATTTTGCTGCGTCCGTTGTGAAAGCAGCACTGCACAAAGATCGCCACTGCACTAGCGACGAGCATGCTTTTAACTGGGGGGTGTAGCAGTTCTCGCTGTAAAGCTAGACCGACTCTCGCGAGACTTCTGAGCCTGTGGGTGCGGGTCGGTGCTCCTGCAATTGCAAGTGCGGTATTTCCCCCACAGACCACCAGGGCGGCCGAGAAAACCTTTGTTCAACCTGAAATGACTCATTTAATCATCCAAAACGTTATGGAACACATTAATTAACTGAAAATTGTTGCATAGTATGCCTTTAATACCACTGAGGAATCAGAAATTCCAAATATGGCAGTCAGTGGACAAGGCTGCAGATTAACTTTGAGAATATGTAAGTTTTTTTTAACTTGTCTGCTACATGGATGGATCGTTGATTTTTTTATTCTGTCTTCAGGGTTCCACTAGAAACAGAACCTATTGTTTAATAACATCCTCATGAGCGGTTCTGTTCTGCTTACAGTACTTGAGTCAGAGGCAGTGCAGCGGCTCTTCTTCAACAAGCTGATCAGCGTGGCACTGAGCTGGAGTCAGGAGCTCCCCCAGTTCCCCCCGCCGCCTTCTCAGAGCTTTCAGTGCTCTGTTCATGCCATCAAGAACACCAGAAGGAAGATGGAGGACAAACATGTGGCGCTGGCTGAATTTAACCAGCTCTTTGGGATCCAGGTACAGCAACTGAAAACCGATCTGTGCTCCAACTCCATCACTGCCTTTACCGTCGCTCTGCCTCTGTCTGACCCCGGTTAGGACGGAGTGGAGCGTGCCTACTACGCTGTGTTTGATGGACATGGAGGGGTGGATGCTGCCACTTTCGCTGCCACTCACCTCCACGTCGCCCTCAGCCACCAGGAGGCGCTGCAGAGTGACGCTGCCACGGCCTTTAAAGCTGCCTTCAAGAGCACAGACGACATGTTTAGACACAAAGCCAAGAGAGAGGTATGGGATGTTGTACGCCAGGCGGATTTCATCGCTGTACGCTGCACCGCACTCCGCCAGCTTCAGGGGAACCACTTATTCAGCTTTCTGTGTGTCTGTAGCGTCTGCGGAGTGGGAGCACTGGAGTGGCCGTGCTGATCCACGGTCAGCAGCTGACGGTGGCCTGGCTCGGAGACTCTCAGGCCATGTTGGTCAGAAGAGGAGAGGTTGTTACCCTCATGGACCCCCACAAACCGGACAGAGAGGTAAAGTAACACCGGGGACCAGTGGGAACACTAAAGCCCCATTTACACTACCCTTGAAAAACCGATCCATGCCGAGACCGGTCCGAGCTCGGATCAGTTAACCAGGCCGAGCTCGGTTCTCACGACTGTTTACACATCACGCTATCTCGGTTCCTCGACTTCTTGCCTCCTAGTGACGATCTGCGGTATTACTGCCAGTATTGAAGGAGGAAATCAAGCAGTTGGTGGCGGTAATGCACCAAAAGTTGTTTGCCAACCGCCATAAAACACAAGAAGAAGAAGAAGAAGAAGAAGAAGAAGGAGGGAAGCAAGCAAATCAAAATGGCGGCGCCCGTCACATTCAGAAAGTTATGCTTGATTATTATTGCTGTACTTCAGTGTTATTATTAAAAATGTTGCGTGGAGAAGATTTCGATTGTTGAAGAAGAAGTTGTTCTTCTGTTTCCGGAGGGGGATTACCGCCCACTACTGGAATGGAGTGTGAATCGCGATGTGCAGCCAGACGGAGATGACGCGTTCTGCTCATGCGCTCTTGTTATCAGAGAACCGAGCCAGGAAAAAACCGAGCCGAGCCCACCTCTGGAACTGGTCTGCAGTTAGCTCGGTCCGGTTGTGTCTAGCTCGGTTCAGTTCAGTTTGCTTTCCATTTACACACGATAAGTTATCTCAGTTACTGAGCTCGGACCGGTCTCTGCACGGTTTTTCAAGGGTAGTGTAAATTGGGTATTGTGTCATTCGGCTTCAGATGTCACACGCTCAGATGGTCATTTCCTCTTCTACCTGCTGCAGCAGCAGCCAGCGTTAGTCAGATGTCTGTAATCATGCAGGTCTGAGCAGGTTGTGGTCCTGTCTCTGACTCTCAGGCTGTCTGCATTTCATGCTGACATCGTGTCTGTGATGTCTTTGAATCAAATGGCAGAGTTTAGGGTTAGTTAGTGGTTGCCACACCACACCCTGGCAATAACAACTATATGGAGCAAAGAAGCGGCACAAACTGCATGGAGCTAAAAGCAACAGCAGGAACTTTCTTTAACCCTTTTCCTTCTGGCTGACAAACATGTTTAAACCCAGAAATAATCTGCTTTTAGTGTCAGTCAGAACAGCTCACTGATGCGTGTCTACCTGGGTCAAACAACACTCGGTTATGATCGGCATGCTGTGAGAACACCGGAGCTGAGTTGGCCCGCTAAATTACGTGATACTATTGAACGCAACGTACGGACGTCAACACACCGTGCCAGTTGTGTTTGATTTAACAGGCTGAAACAACTTTTTTTTACATTCGATAAACATGGAGTAGCTCTGGTGAGAGGGATTCAGCCAGATAATGGAGAGAAACAATAAAGTACACTGACTACGGCATGGCTTCCTTACAAGTTCTCTGATTTCTTTCACACTGGTGACATCATCAACGCTAACCGAGCGGAATAGTGTCGCAAGGGGAAGATGTTTCTTTACTTAACTTTTGTTCTCTGATTCACAGGATGAGAAACAGAGGATAGAAGATCTCGGAGGCTGCATCACCTACATGGGTTGCTGGCGAGTTAACGGCACCTACGCCGTCTCCAGAGCCATCGGTAAGGCTTTCCCAACCAATCGGAACATAGAACAGAGAGGTTAACGTTACTGCAGGACAGTCAGACTCTATTTAGTAGCTGCCTTCATTGTTCCTATCCATTGTCCCCCCTTCTCCTGTGGTTTCTCCAGCAGATGGCACCATGTCTGCTCATCCTGCTTAGCAGGAATTCTATTTAGGCTTGAATTGGACTAACTATCCTAGTTTTTCAGGAGGTAATCCAGGTGAGGTGTTGTTTTCCCAAGGAGGCAACAACAGTGAACAGGCTGGTGTTTGAACCAGCGACCCCTCAGTTGCAGGGCAAACTCCTGCATCCAACAACAGTGTCAGCCCTGCGCTGGCAGGCATAACACTAAAGACGTTACATTTAGATCAGAGCTGTCAAGTAACGAAGTACAAATACTTCATTACTGTACTTAAGTACACTTTTTAGGTATCTATACTTTTCTTCATTACTTATTTTTCTTCCTACTTCTGACTTCTACTCATTACATTTTCACACAAGTATCTGTATTTTCTATTCCTTAAATTTTTAAAACAAACGTTACTCGTTACTCTTGACTTCGGTTTAATGCAGAGGTCACAGATTAGCGGACCGCGGTCCAATGTTATGCAGAAAAGTGCATGTCTGCCGAGCGGAAAACCAAATGCGCATCTACACAGACCAGTGTGATGCGTTCACAAGCGTCAGATAGCTATGGTGCATTCAGGAGCATGGGACATTTCATACTTAGAAGGAAAGAGACATAAACGGAACAGAACTTAACATACTCGTATTTCTGTTATTTGTTGATTATGCACATCTGCAAGCTTTTCATTCTAAAAAATCTATATTATTACAGCATCAAATTATCAAAGTTTTTCAAAAGCCTGTTTAAAAGCTCCAAATGAAGCTTCAGATCATACAGCGACAATTACACTGTCATTGTTTTACAGGCAGAATTAGCATTTGCTGACGCTTTTCCTTTAACTACTGATGGATATACGGGAATAATTCTAGTGTCAACTTATCTGAGATAGCGCAGGAATTTTTGGCAATTGTTGTTATTATTATTTTTTTTTATTTAAAAATTCAATGTATAACATTAAAATATAAATACCAGATTTTATTTCAGTGTTTAATTCTGTTTAAAGTAACGGATCATTAAAAATGTCTCTGGACCTTTACAGGTTGATGATTTCCTTTATTCTGATCCCGCTGATCTTTAATTGGTTACTCCTGGTTTAATGTTTCTAAATCTTTATTTCCCGTCATGTGCTCCATCCAATGCAGATCATTGGCTCCATCCACATCTAGTGAAAACTAATGTGATTGGATGAGTCATATAACGCAAACACTCATTGGTTAGTTAAAGAAAATCATCAGAAGCAAGCAGGTGATCTTCAAACTGCTAATGTGAATTGTCTATGCCATGCTACAATGGATTCAGAAAAAGATGTTGAAATGTCTGAAAGGTCGGACACAGGCCAGAGCGTATCGGGAGACGGAGACCAACAAGACCTCCCTCATCCTCGGCCCTATCTCAAAGAATTTTTCGAAATTGAGCTTTAAAATTTATATAGTGGCATCTGGCTGGGTTTTTTTAAAAGGTTATTTTATACTTTTATACTTTAAGTAGTTTTGGAGCTCATACTTTTTCAATTTTACTTGAGTAAAGAGGTCAAGTTGATACTTCAACTTTTACCAGAGTGTTTTTAAACTGCAGTATCTATACTTCTACTTTAGTAACAAATGTGTGAACTTTTGACATCACTGATTTAGACTTAGACTCAGATAGACTTTATTGTCATTTTGTACACAGTGTATGCAAAAAGAAATTTTGTTCAGTATAGCTCGTAAGACATTTCCATTTTTAAAGTGCAGAAGTAATAAAAATAAAAATAAAAACATAACACTGGTATATGATTTACAGTTTCCAACATTCAGTGTTTTTTTTTTTTTAAACCCCATTTTATACAACATTCAGCAGTCTGAATGCGGTGGGGAAGAAGCTGTTCTGGAACCTGCTGCATATGCATTGAAAGCTGTGAAGCCTCTTCCCAGAAGGCAGCAGGGAGAACAGTCCATGGTGGAGGGGTGAGGGGTCATTTATGATGTTACGGGCTCGGGACAAAAAGCGCTGGGATGAAATGTTTTTAATGGAGGGAAGAGGAGCCCCAATGATCCTCTCTGCTGTTCTCACCACTCTTTTCACCTTCTTCCAGTCTGCAGTCTGAGGCGCTGCAGCCTCCACACCACACAGTGAGACAGCTGGTCAGAACGCTCTCTATGGTGCTTCTTTAGAGGGTGGGGATGATGGGTGGGGGCAGGTGGGCTCTCCTCTGCCTCCTCATCAGGTGCTCTTGAAAAGTTTGGATCTTAGCAGTTGAGACTAAAACAACTCTATTTTCTGTGTTTGACAAGCTAAAGCTGAGCTGAAAGGGGGCAAATAGAACTGAAGGCTTCATGATGATTAATGAGCAGAAGGGTGTAGATGTTCTCCATGTTTGCATAGAAATAGAATGTAGCCATAATCCAACCAGCAGGTGGCACTGCTGAGCTTTAAAAGACCTCAGAAAAAACAGCTTAAACAAAATCAGATGTCGAAATCAAAGAGTACTCCCTGTCCACACTAACCATCACAATTATCCTCCAGGTGATTTTGACCAGAAACCATATGTGTCGGGGGACGCTGATTCTTCCACCGTCCAGCTGCTAGGGGACGAGGACTACGTGCTCCTGGCGTGTGACGGTTTCTTCGATGCTGTTAAACCCTCCGAGGTCCCAGATCTGGTTATGGATGCGCTCCGGGGGACGGGTGACCCTGAAGGGGCAGAAGATCTTTTAGCAGAATGTGCTGAAGCTGATGTGGGACACAGGGTCGCACAGAGGTTGGTATGTCACGCCAAGGCGGAAGGGTCCAGCGATAACATCACAGTTATGGTGGTGTTCCTGCGTCCGTCTGGGCAGCTGCTGGCTGCAGCTGGACCAGAGTCTCCACCTGCTTGACACGCTGGACTCGGATGGTAATATATGAGTAAGGAGGACAAAACCGCTTCAGCTCTACTCAGGACAAACACAAACCCCATTTAAGAGCCACCCTAACCCAAAAAGCAACCTGCTAGGAATGAAAACTCTGCTGGACAGGTGCATTGCTGGGTATTAAACTGGGCGTAGAAATCACCAAAATCCAGTGTTAAACAAGCTAATGGATCTCAGAGCATATGCAGCTGGCACGTTGAAAAACAGGTGCTGTGGGGGTTAAATTATTGCCATTATTGAAAATCTTTGTAATTTTTTTTACCCCACCATTAATGTGACATGTACCCTGTAACATTCAACAGGAAAAGTAAGACATGTTGAGGAGAAATGTTAGAAAAGGAGAGTAATACAAGAAACTACCTTTTACCTATTTTAATCATCTTTATTCTTAGTACTAACTTTACATTCAAATAAATAATTGTACATTGGCTGCTGGAAAGACTCCAAAGATGAGCTGGAATCTGGTCATGTGCAGCTGGCACTGAATTATTTTAGTTTTTCTGTTGGATTATAAAAGTTTTATGTCACATTAAAGGGGCAAACATCTTCCAATCATTCATCATGGTCGCATGGGGTGTTAAACTTTCAGAACCACATTTATTAACTTTGCCTTATGGTGTGTATGGAGGGGTACGGGTTGGCTTGAAGGCAAACATCAGATAACTGTTACCATGATGATAAAAAGTCGCTCACATTTCTCTGTTTAAGGCTTCAGTCACACAAACGGGAAGCTTTCCACTGTCAGAGCTTACACACATCATGCTCCCTCTGGGACTTTCCACATGTGCTGTCTCAGTGCCACAAACATGGGGACATCAAGCCTAAATATTTAATTTGGTGTCATCACAAATACTGGCAAATAATGTTTGGCCTTGATAGACCTGTCTACCGACATGTTTGCTTAGGACGGACCCGTCTGCCAGTATTTTGGTCCAGGACGCACCCGTCTACCAGCGTGCTGGTCCATGACAGGCCCGTCTACCGACATGTTGGTCCAGGACGGGCCCGTCTACCGACATGTTGGTCTACCGACATGTTAGTCCAGGACGGACCCGTCTACCGACATGTTGGTCTACCGACATGTTAGTCCAGGACGGGCCCGTCTACCGACATGTTGGTCTACCGACATGTTAGTCCAGGACGGGCGCGTCTACCGACTTGTTGGTCTACCGACATGTTGGTCCAGGACGGGCGCGTCTACCGACTTGTTGGTCTACCGACATGTTAGTCCAGGACGGGCCCGTCTACCGACATGTTGGTCTACCGACATGTTAGTCCAGGACGGGCCCGTCTACCGACATGTTGGTCCAGGACGGGCCCGTCTACCGACATGTTAGTCCAGGACGGGCCCGTCTACCGACATGTTGGTCTACCGACATGTTGGTCCAGGACGGGCCCGTCTACCGACATGTTAGTCCAGGACGGACCCGTCTACCGACATGTTGGTCTACCGACATGTTAGTCCAGGACGGGCCCGTCTACCGACATGTTGCTCTACCGACATGTTAGTCCAGGACGGGCCCGTCTACCGACATGTTGGTCCAGGACGGACCCGTCTACCGACATGTTGGTCTACCGACATGTTAGTCCAGGACGGGCCCGTCTACCGACATGTTGGTCTACCGACATGTTGGTCCAGGACGGGCCCGTCTACCGACATGTTGGTCCAGGACGGGCGCGTCTACTGACATGTTGGTCCAGGACGGGCCCGTCTACCGACATGTTGGTCTACCGACATGTTGGTCCAGGACGGGCGCGTCTACCGACATGTTGGTCTACCGACATGTTGGTCCAGGACGGGCCCGTCTACCGACATGTTGCTCTACCGACATGTTGGTCCAGGACGGGCCCGTCTACCGACATGTTGGTCCAGGACGGACCCGTCTACCGACATGTTGGTCTACCGACATGTTAGTCCAGGACGGGCCCGTCTACCGACATGTTGGTCTACCGACATGTTAGTCCAGGACGGGCCCGTCTACCGACATGTTGGTCCAGGACGGGCGCGTCTACTGACATGTTGGTCTACCGACATGTTGGTCCAGGACGGGCCCGTCTACCGACATGTTGGTCTACCGACATGTTGGTCCAGGACGGGCGCGTCTACCGACATGTTGGTCTACCGACATGTTGGTCCAGGACGGGCGCGTCTACCGACATGTTGGTCCAGGACGGGCGCGTCTACCGACATGTTGGTCTACCGACATGTTGGTCTACCGACATGTTGGTCCAGGACGGGCGCGTCTACCGACATTTTGGTCTACCGACATGTTGGTCCAGGACGGGCGCGTCTACCGACTTGTTGGTCTACCGACATGTTGGTCCAGGACGGGCGCGTCTATCGACATGTTGGTCCAGGACGGGCGCGTCTACTGACATGTTGGTCTACCGACATGTTGGTCCAGGACGGGCGCGTCTACCGACATGTTTGGTCTACCGACATGTTGGTCCAGGACGGGCGCGTCTACCGACATGTTTGGTCTACCGACATGTTGGTCCAGGACGGGCGCGTCTACCGACTTGTTGGTCTACCAACATGTTGGTCCAGGACGGACCAGTCTGCCAGTATTTTGGTCCAGGACGCACCCGTCTTCCGACGTGTTGGTCCAGGACGCGCCCGTCTACCGATATGTTGGTCCAGGACGGGCCCGTCTACCGACATGTTGGTCCAGGACGGGCCTGTCTACCGACATGTTGGTCTACCGACATGTTGGTCTACCAACATGTTGGTCCAGGATGGGCGCGTCTACCGACTTGTTGGTCAAGGACGGGCGCGTCTACCGACTTGTTGGTCTACCGACATGTTGGTTTAGGACGCACCCGTCTACCAGCATGTTAGGCGTGGATCCCCTATGAATCGATTTTTTTGTGTGGAGGAGAAACTAAACTGGAAATCTAAACCCTCTAGTATTCAGCTAACTTTATCAGATTTAATATATTGATTATTTAGAGGAGTCAGTTACATTTAAAGAGTTTATTTTGTTGGCAGGTTTGCTAATATCTGTTACCTTTTTGATTGCTTTAATCAGGCTTCATCTTCCTAATTTGGGGGGGGACTTTGGTTAAAGAAAAAAAGTATTAAATTCCATTCAGTTTATTTATGTAGCTCCAATTCACGTCATCTCAAAACACTTTGTAAAGAGAAATCAATTCAACATCAGTCATTTCCTGTGGGAAGATGCCTTTAACAGCCATTAGTCACATACACTTCTTCAACACTTTCCATAATTTCTGACTGATACATGGACTAATACAATTACTCCATAAACATGTGAACGCTCTCGGCCAATGAGGGTCTAAAACATCTCACTGTTCCAAGCACCCTTCCTTTTCCTGTAACTGGAGACAGAGTGCTGCTGATGATGATGATAGATTAAACTGTTTACCACAGTTTTTTTCACCACGCTGGACTGGTTTTATCCAACCAGATTTAAACTTGCTAACTTTGCTGGAAGCGTCTCTTTTCCTTGGAAAAGATTTGTAAAAGCCCAGATGTGCACATTCAGACCAGACCTAAATAAAATCTCTGTATCAAAAGGTTTGAACCCCTCTGACCTCCAGCACTAACAGCCGGTTCTGTTGGTGTCGGCAGTACCAAGCGCTCTTTCTGGGTCTGTTTTGCCCGGTTTTAATGTGCCTCGGCTCATCTGGAGCCGCTTTCAGACCCTCCTACTGTGATGCTCTCTAAATATTCAGCTGATTCCAGCAGACAACGCCTGTACATCAAAGAGTGAAAGTTGACTTTAATTGTGCTGTGAAAGATGACCGGCTGATAAAAAACTCTTTCCTGTGTATCGAATGCCTGTTTTTATCCATTAAGACAATGCTGATGTAAATGTGTCTTAGAAATGGTTCTCAACTGGCTCTGATGTCAGAACCTCGCCTCTAAACTGATGGAACCGGACTCTTTCACTGTGCATTGCTGACGTGATTACATTTGCAGTTCTGTATTTGCTAATAAAGACTCTGAATTTGGTGATGAATCAAGTTGAAATGTGACTTTTGTTCTTAAATCAACATTTCCCCCAAACTTTATTCACACCAAGTTGAAATGGTTGACTTTTTGACTGAGATTAAAGAGACAAATGGCGTTCTATAGAGAGTCAATGCAATGCCAAGAAGAAAAAAATTCTGCAATAAGCTTAAGAAGAAACTGCTTGTTAGTAAATGTATAAAGGAAACTTATCTTCTACATTCATTTGAAGAAAATTGAGTTTTTGGATGAAGCGCCATTTATCACCAACTGCTGCATCCTGAGTGCACAAAGGAAGGTAAACATAGATCCTTCTTCCCAGGAGCTGCTAGATTTTAAAACAACCTTTACTTGGTAACTTGTTTTTAATTACTGCTACGCTTTTAACAATGTTATGATATTTGATGTCTGAGTAATCCAGCTGAATTCTGCTCTAAACTGAAAGGGGGAGTGGCCATCACCTTCTCATGCAGAGCAGTAATTACCATCCTCCCTGCAGGAAGCAGCAACACTCAATACACCTCCTGCCCAGAAAAGAACATGCACACTTTATATGATAGTGCATATTAATGTGAGGCAGAGTACCATCATTTTTCACTCAAAACTGAGGAAAAAACGGTTGTTTAAGCAGCTAATCTGCACAGTGACAGTATGTGTTATAAGCTAATGCCAAAGTCAAATAAATGATTTAATGTCTGTAAGAGGTGTGGGACTTTGTTTAGCTTTACTAAAGAAGAGCCTAGTCTCCAGAAGTGGTGTGATAATAATGCTGCAGAGGCTCCAGGGGGACATCGTGAAATGGGCATAAAAGTTAAGTGTATTTCTTTTGGGTAGGAAGAGAAGATAAAAATTGATTTCATAACAAATGGATACTATGTAATGCAAAGGCAATATTTCATATGCATTTAGTTGACTTTATGGTTTAAAACAGCAGAATGGTGGACCTTTAACTTTCTTTGGAGAAACTGCACTGCAGGCTAAGAAATGCCAATGAAACCGTTTCTCATCTCTTTACTCTAAAATCCCCTCTTTATTTCTCCACATGGGTTTGCTGCCAGCTTTCCACAAAGAGCTGCTCTATTGTGACCCCTGTGAGCAAAGCTTAAAGGACAGAGCCCCTAGTTGGCTGAATGAAGCTGTTGTAACCAGAAAACTGTAAACGGGGTGGGGGGCCAAATCTGACCAACAGGGTCAGGCCAAATCTGAGATCTTGTTCTAGTCACATAACGTGGGCGATTAGAGGTCGAAAGGCTTAAATTAAAACAAGTCGACACAAAAAGTCAGAAAAAAGGTTTTTATTTTCCTTAGTAGGAAACTATTACTTAAAGCTGTACATAAAAACATTACTTTCAAAATAAAGTATAAAACAATATAAAATAGCAGGAAACTGGCCATCATGGCTCATTTCTAGCAGCTCATCGTATTTACAGTGTTTTGTTGTGAACCAGAGGAGCAGAGATGGAGGACCCTGCTGTCAGCTCTGAGCTCAGAGATCTACTGTCTGGATGTCGCCTGCTTCGTCGTGGAGCTCTGAGCTGGAGCCGTTGTCGTCTGCACAGCTTCTGTCTTCCTGAGCCTAAACCAGATGGAGCCTCTCAGCTGATCTTACTTGTTTTTGTGTCGGTTCAGAATAAGCTGTCCAATGTTTGACTTTGGATCCAGACATTTCTCCTTGTCTGCCACTTTAACACTAGAGGAAGAAAAACAGTACAGAAGGAGCCTATTAGAGACTGACAGAGGAAAACTGCAGAGCGGATGTCAGCTTTGCATCACTCAGAAACTGAGATGTAGACCTACATGATCTCATATTGTGGGCAGAAGGTACTGGGCTGGTAAACCACTGGTTCCTTCTGGATGCTCCGCAGTTTGACCCTGCTCAGGAGGCTGTGGGAACACTTGCATTTGTTCGACCTGTAGGCTGGTTGTCCTGTGGAAAGAAGAAGCACAGACCTGTCAGATAAAAGGAACCCAAAGCAGAATATTTCTTCTCTCCAAGCTCTTCTGTTTATCATCTCACACACTCAGCTGGTCTAACACGACCCAAAGGCATCCCACCCAGCAGGTTTCCACAGTACCTTGTGCAGAGAGGAGAAGCAGGCAGGCAAGGAAACCAAGGAGAGCAGACTTCATGTTGTGGCTTCAGAAGGCTTCAGGTTCAGTCCTCCTTGGTGTCTGATTGTAGTCTGGACTGCTGACACTCTCATGCTCCTGTTTTATAGCGGACGACTTCTCTAAACTCCTCTTTGCAATGTGATGCAAGAGTTTCATTTTCCTCTGTGTTTCGCTTTCTTTGTCTCTTCCTTTTTCTTTCACAAAGCCTGTTTCCAAGAACTGCCTTTTCTTTCCAGATTTTTATGAGAACTTTTTTTCTCCTCCAAGCTGCTCTTTTGTTATATTTACAATTGACCAGCAAATAAAAAGCTTTTTGTAAAATCTTAAAAAAGCTCTTAAATTACCAACACTGTGCAAACTTCAGGATAGCTTCAGCTCTACAAAATCATTAAGATCTGCTGAGAGAGCAGCAGCTGCATCTATGCAGTGAATCAAAGCCTCATAGATGCATTAAATGTGCAGCTATATTATAGTTTTTTTATTTACTGACTGTGCAATATATGTGAATAGAATAGTCATACCACTACCTCTCCGTGGCTCCTCACCTACTACATTTTAATGTAAAAGTCAATCCACCTGTATATAAGCCATCCGGATTGTACATATGACACCTCAAATCTCTGTGTTATTTTTTTATTTCTTATTTTTATTTTGTTTTTCATTGTGTGTGATACATGTACACTTGCACCTTAATCCTTATTTATCTTGATATACTGTATATATATTGTTAATCTTAATGCACCTTTTTCCTCCTTGTTTGCTCCTTCTTTAATTACTATGCCAATATGTGACCAGTGAATTTCTCCGCTGTGAGATCAATAAAGCTAATCTAATCTTCCTAATCCTGATTCTCAGGGACCAAAGCCCTGCATGTTTTAGATGTTTCTCTGACAAAAGAACTGATTCAAGTGATGACATGACCTCCTCATCAGCCATCAAGTGCTGCATTCATTCAAATTAGAAATGTGTGTGTGGCAGCAAGGAAACACGTAAACATGGGTCCTTGAGGATCAGTATTAGATGATTTAGCAGATAGATATTATTTAATCAGAAAACTTTCTCTGCAACGCTTCTGCATGATGCAGCTAAAAAGGACTACAGGCCAACAAAGAAGTGGTTCCAACAACTGGACTCTGAGGAATACCAGGCTGAGAGTTACAGCTTTCTGGTGCTGATAACACCAAGGTCACAGGCTGAGGTGCAGGGTGCTAATGTTAGCAATCAGGGAGTGTTGTTTTAGAAAGGCCCTTAGACCCACCGGTTCAACATCAGGGTCCCTGAGTAAGACCCTAAGTCCACAATGCTCCCTGCCCAAAGGCTCCAAGCTGCTTACTGATGCAGAGGCTCAATGCAGAGAACCAATGTGGTTTTCATGTACAATTACAATAACAAGTAAAGGTTATAATTATAATTCTATCATTAAAATAGCATAAAGTCACCAGCAGAATCAAAGGTTTCACAAAGCAATCGGTTTATGCATCTGTTTTCCACTTTGCTGAAGTGTTGAACAGTAGAACAGTTTGTAGAAACAGCTGAGAGATGCAGACCTTCCAAAGTCACATCTTGTTCATGGAGATCTAGGAGCTTCTAAAGTGGAGGTGCTGGAAGGAAACCTCTGTGTGTCTGAAATGGACTTCTACTGGAAGACTCACAATTAGTGCAAAGAAACAAATTTCAAACATTTTTCTATTTACAAGAAAATTAAAAGAAAGGTTTTGTTGGATCTTATTTAATGTTAGCATAAACTTTCTGAAAAGATTCACTACAAATACAGTGAAAGGAGTTTTTTAAGGAACGGGAAGTAAAACTGAAACCAACCAGACGAGGGAAAACACCATCCGCAGTATTAGCCCTTTAAACCTAATAAAGACCAAAGGGTTCAAATATAAGGATAAAATCCTTATTTCATGGAAATGAGACATCTGGTCTGAAATCAGACACATTATTCTGTAGTTTTAGACGCATAGAAACAAAAATATGTAGAGAGAAAGTTTAGAGTCTTTTATATCATTGAAATGAGCTAAATTAATATAAA